TCAGAACTACTATTTGCATCGCCTCATTGTTAACTGCACCAGGTGGAACTTCTCGCTTCTTTGTAAGAACACTTCCAGTTTCTCTAAATTTAACTACTAATTCCAGCACGTACTTTCTATTGACATGTTTATCTGGATGTCGGTCATTAAATAACTGTGCCGTTCTATTGCCACATCCGTCATAACTAAAGAAAGTTTCAATTATCTCAACTTTATCTGCAGTAGAATAAACCATCACATCAATTCACAATAAAAAAGGTAGAAAAACTCGGTCTCAACGTTTATATAATATTAAAGAGTGACACATGTTTCGCTCATACGAGCATCATCAGACAAATAAAATTAAAATTAATCTACACACACGTTCACATTTCACATATTAAAACAACACTATCGAGTTTGTTTCTTATCGGCTAGTACACGTCTTCTTTTCGACATGTGCTTTTCGGATGAATGTACATTTTTCATCTACGGAACAGTACCTAGATCGCCAAAATTGTTTCAAAGCAGGGTACTACTTTTTGTGTATTATTCATTAAACAAAATCTTGTTGATTTAATCTAAATATCCCATTGATTAAAAAAATCCAAATCCAAATCCCCCAAATATCCCATGATTTAATCTAATAGACCCCATTTCAATATCAAAGCATCATCAATTTATTAAAAGTTAATTTTTCAGCCCGATTCCAATTGTGACAAAAACTCCAAAAATGAGACGGCCCTAAAAAGGGGCTTTATAACCTTTCGATTGATGTGCTACTCGACCCCGCATTACATTTAAGATTTTAAGGGTGGATGTCACCCCCGTGTGGGGTTTGAATTAGAAGCTTCAAAAATAGTCGCATGTTATTTCTCCTTCGAAAATAAAGTTGACGTGTTTCATCGTTTTGTTCTTTTCACACCAGAAATGCCTTTAAATTGCCTTGTCTCGTTTGAACTGTATATGGTTTATATCAACAAAGGTCCGATTCTGCTTTGTTTCGTAGTTACAGGAGGTTAAAGTCTTTTTTTTTTCGATTTATTGTAATTTTCTTCCAAGTGCTTTTAGCAATTCGAATGAAATTTAAAAAGTGTAAAAGTTACTGTAAGTGTTACATATTTTAATGCTAAAAAATGTCGACATTGACTTTTCTTTCACTTGCTAGCATTGTAGTAGCCCGTTAAATACCGATTAAAAATTGTATCTTGATATTTTGTCGAATTCGATCTCCTTGATGAGAGAAACGCAATTTTATTAATTTGCCTTTATCCAAGTCTAAATGCGCATTCTCACGACTGGTGTACTTGACAAATATTTGTTATTGGAATATACTTGCCATGTCGTGAGAACGGTTTTCTTGGTCACTCGTCGCGTCTCCACTCTCTGTCGGTAAATATAGCCCGAGTCAAAGGATCACAATAATTATTCGTACACTTGCCAAGTGTACTCGGCCAGCCTCGTCTACACTTGTCGAGGCGCAAAAAACGACTGCGCAAATAGTTGTACTGTTATAGAGTATGTCCCGTTTATTTTCGGATCGTAGTGTTTTTCGAGTTAATTGCGGAGAATTTAAAACGTTAAAACAATAATAGATTATATAATATCAAATTTACATTAATAACTTCAATATTGGCGATATACCTTATTTATTTATCGTATGGCAAACACATGGTACAATAAAAGTAATATGTACCGGGTGTCCCACTAAGAATAGCTCTCGGTATAGTATCTCGGAAAGTATTCGCCGTAGGGCTTGCGGAAAAAAATATTTATAACTAAAGGGGCTATGAGAAATTGCTGGAAATTATTTTCAAATTTGTAAAACGGCCGCTAGGTGGCGCAACTGCTATAGAAAATAAGAAAATAGATTTTTTACAGAATTTTGCCTAGATAATGGGTACTATAAATAATAGCTTCATAATCTTCAGTAAATTTTGGATTTTTTTTGTTAGAACCGTTTTTCCATATCTGCTAAAATAAAGTGGTGGGGGAAGGTTAGATCTATCTTTATTTAAATGTTAATAACTCCGGACTGGATGATCAGAATCCAACAAACAAGAGCTCGTTTAAAAGAGCGTTTCTTACTCTATAGTATACCTTAATAATAATAATAATAAGGTTTTGAACGTAGACGCTAGGGGGCGCTTTCTTACAATCTAATAAACATTGTTCGTTTTTTCAAAAAAATTTAATACGATAGTATGTGCTATTTTAGCTGGTAGTAAAGAGTAGTAAAAGCTTAAAAAGTCAGCGAAAACCGCATCTTGATATCTTCTTTCAAACCGAAGATATTAGAAAAATTATAATAAATACCAAAAAATAAGCCCTTAATTACCTTATTTTTACAATACAGTATCAGTAGCCCTCTTGATTAGGCCCATTCTAACAAAAAAATAAGATAGAAACAGTTACTTTATTTTAAAATCGCTGAAAGCGCTGTTATGCATGTCGCTGGTGGATATATCGATACTTTTTTAGCATTAAAATATGTCGCACTTATAGTAACTTTACCCTCAAAAAGTCATTCGAATCGCTAAAAGCATTTGGAAGAAAATTATAATAAATCGAAAACCAAACAAGGCAAAATCGGACCTATGTTGATATAAAAAATAAATCTTATTTTTACGTGAGCAATCTCCCCATGAGAGATGGCGCACATGTTTTTTGAAACACCCTGTATTTATAACTGTACACAGAAAATGTACATCAGAAACTAAACTGTACACAGAAAATGAATAGCTTAGTACGATAAAATAAAATGTAAGTTTTAAGGATAGATGAAGAATATTCGGCAACTATTGATATTCAGCCACATTTTTTTATATTCACTATGCACGCATAGTGATTATGTGGTTCGTCGATAGGATTCGTTAGTCCTTTTGAAAATTAGTCCATTGTGTTCATGATATTTGTTTTGATTGTTCGTCCAAAAACAGACGTTCCGCCGAACCGCCGCACAACTTATCGCATTGGCGCATTAAATCGACGCACTGACGACCCGCATCAGTGAAAAGTGATTATGGGACTCTAGAAATTCCTTGAACCTCAAACTATAGTCCTTGCGAAGTAATCTTGCCGTTCACTAAAATGTTAATGAAGTTTTGAGTGAATCGATGTAATCGGGTTATTGTGAAAATGGGAAAATCATACATTGAGATTTTGAGATATTTATTGAAATATACAGGGTGGTCCGAACTGTATTTCCGGAACTTCGGCAGCATATTCTGCAGATAAAAATAAGTAAAAAAGTTCTTATAAATGTATGTCCTAAAATTCTTAGTTTCGAAGATACAGGGTGTAGAAGTTTCATTTTTATTTCGATTTTTTCCAAATAATTTGTGAAGTAACGTCAATATTTGGATGAAAATTGGTGTCTGGAAGTTTTTTGATATGAGAAATTTGATTTTGATGTCAATATGACTCCCATTTGTAGGGGGCGCCACCTACATGTATTTTAAATGTTTTGAAGAGTGTTCTCAAGATACTTAGAATGGGAACAGTCAATACATGTCATTATCGACAAAAAATAAATATGTTGAGTAGATAGTCATTCTAAAATGATAAATTTAGGAACTTTTTACTTTTTTAAATTTATTATAAATTTTTCTTCAAAAGAATTATGATAAAACAATTTCTGTTAAACTTTTGGGACAAAAACATTTTAAATTTATGATTTCACTCTAATAACTATTTAGTCAACGCATGTTTAATTTATGTCAACCTTGACAGGTATTGATAATTTCGATTCCGAATATCTCGAAAACCATTACTCTTAGCGATTTTTACCAAGAGACTTTTTTACGTAAAAAACGTTTTTTACTCAGTAAAATTTTGTTTACTCAGTAGTTTTATACAGGTATAGACAAAAAGTTATTGCTCTTCAAACCAGTTAAAAAATTTGTAGATGGCGCCCCCTACAAGTAGGAGTCGTATTGACATCAAAATGAAATTTCTCACGTCAAAAAACTTCCAGACACCAATTTTCATCCAAATATTGACGTCACTTCAGAAATTATTTGGAAAAAATCGAAATAAAAATGAAACTTCAACACCCTGTATCTCCGAAACTAAGCATTTTAGGACATATATTTATAAGAACTTTTTTACTTATTTTTATCTGCAGAATATGCTGCCGAAGTTCCGGGAATACAGTTCGGACCACCCTGTATATCAGCAAACCTTAATATTACTGGGGCACTTTTAATAATAACAATTAAAAATAACTGATACACCACAAATTCCATAAATAGATTGTTGGGATGATTGTGTGACTTTTACTGACAAATTTGGGCGCTGACTATGGATTAATGCATACCGATTTTAGTGTTATAACCATATCAAAAAGATTCAGTTAAATTAAAGTAATCTATAAGGGTTCATTTTCCTAATTATTATTTCGTAGATATGAAAAATACTCCACTGTGCGACGCGTTGTTTTGTGACTTTAGGTTGTGACAACTTCAAATGATAATAAAATTGCCGAAAACATTTAAAAAAAATACTATTTATTTAAATATTTTCTATGTATAAAGTGCTTCTAGTAAAAATTTATTAAAAAAGGTCTCGGTATTGGTCTTACAGCAAGACCAATGCCGAGACTGAACCCTGTAAGTCCAAGACTACTTCTTACACCGCAAAACCCAGACCAAGGGTGCATCTTCTCATCACTAGTTGTAATTTAGTTCCCATACACTATTCCCACAAATATAGAAGAGAAAGGGGGTGGTTTTTTTTATGCTTCTAGATTTTTTTGTCCTTCAGGCATTTAGCTATACAATTTAGCAACCCTACTTATATATGTTCTTGTGCTCATACATGCTCTAAGAGAACGTTCTTGCACAATGATTCTGAAGACTCTGAATGTTCGCGAATGTTCTCGAAATATAGGTACAAATGAAAACGTTCTCTATATTACAACCAAAGATATTAAATAATATCTTTGATACTACATATACTACTATACTATTTTTGAGGCACATGAAAATGAAATGGAAAAATATTTTTACTCCCCAACTTACTTTTCCTGTAAATTTGGTTTTATCTGGTAAAAATTTACGGGAGCTAGGGACTCATGTGAATGATGTTTAATACCTTCTTCAGTCAATTCTTCATTATTTATTGTAGGTGAAATTTGGGGAGTATCATGGGGTTCAATACCTTCGTCTTTTTCATTATCTTCCATTGCAAACAATTGTATATTCAATTAACTGTCAAATATTAAACATTAAAAAGTGTATAGCCTATTCGAAATCAATGCGATATTTAAATAAATCCTTTAAATAAAATAGGTAAACCAAGAAAGAATCATAAACAACGAAGATAAACAACAACAACAAACGACCTTGACTTACCAAATCCAATCAAAATACACAACAGCAAATGTCAATTATGACATGAGAAATTGAGTGACAGAATGACTCCAATCGTTCAAATAAATATAACCTTAGAAAGTAAATTTTCTGTGATTGTTGTTGTTAAGCAAAGAAAAGGTACATTTGTTCCAATTCTGCAATCGTCGTTTTTGCCATTAAATCATAAATAAATATGATATCGTATCGTATTGAATTTAACTGAAGATTTACTTAAAAAATTAGTTAGGGTAAGAAAGTCAAAATATTGTATTGTTTTGACAATGATTATTACTATTTTAGAATGTTTTCAAATGGAATTTCTTGTAATCTTCCGTTTAGCTGTATGAGTGTAACTCGAGATTCAGGTTCGGATGAATTACTACCAGCCAGGATGGCCAGAGAGCCTGTTTTATTAAATGTGTATGATATGTATAAAATTAATGAGTATACATCAAACATCGGGCTTGGAGTTTTTCATTCTGGTAATAATATTTGTATTTTACTTACTCTCATATTTTATAGTTGAATGCATATTAACCATATTAATTATGTAGGTGTAGAAATTTATAATACAGAATATGCTTACGGTGGTCATCAATATCCTTTTACTGGTATTTTCGAAATTAATCCTAGGGATGAAAAAGAGCTAGGAGATCAGTTTAGGTTTAGGTAAGTAGCAGGTAATTATGTTAAGTTACTTATTATACATATTAACCTTTGAGTTTAATAACATAATAATAAGTAATAAAATAATACAAATGTGCCTAAAATATTTCAGCATTTTGATTCTTATGAATTATAGTTAGAATGGATTAAGTTACAATTACAAAATATTTTCAAATATTTCAAGAGTTTGGAAAACAAATAAAACTACCCTTTTTATGTTTGCAATTAGAAATGCTACACTTTTTCCCATCCCATGGGCTTAGCTAGGTTTTCATTTAGGGTGGGGCGAAAAATATCAAATTAGGTACCAAAATCTTTCTGCCTAGTCTTATTACCTCATACATTACTCAACAAAACAGTAAGTTTGTTGTATGTTAAATGGTAGGGTTGCCATATGTTCAGATTAATCGGGACATGTCCGGATTTTTACAACATCCGCCTGGGTCTGGGCGGATTTTTCATAAGCGTCCGGATTTTAATATTCCCTTTTTAGAAATGTCGTATTAATGCAAAATAATATCTTACTTTTAAAAAAATTACCTAAAAAATCGTCATAAATTCAGTAGTGTAATTTCTACTTTGTTTTAAGCTTTGAAAGTTATAAATGTATTTTTTTTTAAACGTCACAAAAGTATCTTTAATTTTTTGCGACGTGATTGACAACATAAAAAAGTAACACCTAGCCATAAAAGTAAAGCACCATAGGTTAGGCATTTTACGCCTAAGCACAAAAGTACCATAATATATTATTAAACTGACATAAAGTGTCAAATACAACGAGCCTAACCATATAGTCTAAGAGCTAGCAACGTTTTCGAGAAAGTATTTTAAGAAAGCTGGCTCTTTGATATATAGGGTGTTCCAGAAATAAGTGCAAATGTTTTAACTGGTAGTATAGTTCAACCCCAGAAACACGCCTATGAGGGTTTTTTCGCGAAAAAAAATTTTTGAAAATTCGAAATTTTTTGAAAAAATTTTTGGAAATTTTTTTAGTTTTTTGTTAAAAAACATAATTTCTTGATAATATGGCAACATAGGTATTAGATTAAATTTACAAGAAAGAAAATCCAGAAAAGATCCAGTGGTTCTCAAAATTTTAGCAAAAAATCTTTTTTTTTGGAAATTTTCATAGTAAAATAACTCTGTTATTTTGGACTTATTTGAAAAACGATAAAGAGAAAATATGTTTTTTTTATCGAGATTTTAATCAAATTTGGCACAAAAATACTGTGGCACCCGAGAATCTGGCCATTAGTTTTTGGTGGGGGTAGGGGGTTGGTAGGTGGGTATGGGAGGGGGTTAAAAATTTTAAAAAACCGTAACTCCAAAATTACAGTAGCTAGCGAAACGCGGTTTTCAATTTAAGATTAGGAATATTTGCAACAAAATTTGTAATAACATCAAAATCAGTCAAAGTCGCAGTTTTTGAGATAATTAAAACTAAAAGAACTGCCTACCAACTTTTTATTAACATATTTTAGTATGGGCGGCTATACGCGCCTCACGGCGCCAATTTTTTTTAATTAAATGAAAAACAAAAAATCCGGCGACGACAGTTTTTAGAAGGGCCATTAGCTATCTTTTAGTAGAAAAAGCAACTTTCTAGAGCAAGTCGTTACTTCAGTAGAGACGACACAGATAAACATTAGCATTTTATATATGTAGATGCTCTCTGGAACAGCGTGAAGGCTTCTGGCTGCCGATACCATATACGTATTACTTTTTACAAATATACTCAGCCTAATCTCCAAAAAGTGAAGCCCAAACAGTGAAAGAACAATATGGAATTCTGCATAAGTCTATTTCACCCGGATATTCATTTAACTGAGCATGCCTCACCTGAAGAAGTTTTCATTGGTCGATGTTTTTAAAGGGAATTGGTTGACTGACATTTCCCCTAACCTTCAATTTTATTTATATTTTTATTATTTATAACACATCATCATGGAGTTGGAAAAATATCAAAAAATAGTTGGAAACAATAAACTAAACAAAATCACTCTTTTACGCGCACAAATAAAAAGTAATCCAAACAGAACTAAAACAACAATTAATCGGAGTTGGCGCAATCGCAGTTCAATCCATATCCGGGTGAAATAGACTCATGCAGTTTTAATGTGGAGCTGGGTTATGTTGTCTTTTTCTTACGGCACAGAAATTGCACACGGGGTTAAATAGGGAACCCTGAGTATATTTGTAAAAAGTAATACGTATATGGCCGATACACGTTACACGTTGCGTTCACTACTACGCATCCGAAGAAGATTCTATATTGTTTAATTAGCGCTTTAAGTTATTTTTTTTAAATAGCGCCTTGTTATGATCTTTTTAAAAATATACCATACTCTATATTTAATTACATAAATTAGGTATGTTGTCCACTCATAAACGAGAAATCCCATAAACCGCATGAAAATGGGACACCCTGTACACATGCGATGCGCAGTAGTGAACGCAACCTACCGGCAGCCAGGCCATCCTAAACTTATCTAATAATTAACAAAACAAATGTAATACAACCACAATAATCCTTCAAAACAAATAAAAGTATCAAATTCTACTTATATACACTACGGATCATAAACCCGCAAACGCCATTCGTTCTGGCGATAAAAAAAAACAAATATTTAATATATTACTATCAGAATATAAACGAAAAAAAAAATAAAAAAAAGTTACATCCCCAGCCGGACTTCAACCACTGACTCCTCGCTCCATAGGCCGAAGCTCTACGCGCCGAGCTATGGAGACTTGCTGGATTTTTATTCAATAGGTACTAGAATTTAAAGCGCTAAACAAAAAATATAGGATCTTCTTCGGATGCGCAGTAGTGAACGCAACGTGTATCGGCAGTCAGACAACCTACACGATGTTCCAGTTCCAGAGAGCATAATAACAGATATATCAAAGAGCCAGCTTTCTTAAAATACTTGTTTTTTCGACGTTGCTAGCTCTCGTACTAATAGTTTCTCGATATATAATTACTTACAATTTGCTTACAATTTATTACTTTCATACCTGGGAAACTTATTATAAGTCTTTTATAGTGCAGTGCCCAGATACTTTTACCTGGGAATTCAATTACTGTGAATAATGTATTAATGCGAAAACTTCTGTATTGTGTTTTATAGATAAAATACTAAAATGTTTACCCCATTTATTTCCTTGCTTTTAATTTTTTATTTTAGTAATTTTAGTAAATTCTTAGTTATATTTCCCTCTTAATTTTTTAAGAGGGGAGAGAGAGATTTTTTATTTTTTTTTTCCTAAGTATATTTATTGAAATAAATGCATAAGCTATATGTACCTATTCTGCTTATATTCTAATCGTTGAAATGTTGATTGAAATCGAATTATACAGGCTGGCGCCGCGTTATATACAAAAGAACAAAAGTTTGTATTGAAGTGAAATTTTGTGAGTATATGTCAGTCAATTTACAGCATTTTCTAAAATTAAATAGTACTACTGGGTGTCTCCAAAAAAAGTTACACATCAAAGTTGTATTTTTTGTAATGGAACACCCTATATATTAGTGGATTTTCGGATTCTAGTAAAAAAATAAAGGCCAGTATTATTAGAAAAATATATGACTAAAATGTTTATTTTTTGAAACACACCGTAACTAAAAATGGGTACCTTAAAACTTTGATGTATTTTAAAGTTTAATATATTTTGTTCTAGGGGGCCGATTTTGATTTCTAAATTAAAAATGAAACTCCCCATCTGTTAATTATTCGAGGGAAAACAAAATGTTGATATTTTGGTGAAAGTTTGAAACACCCTATGGAATATGTTAAAACAGCAAGAAATTTAAAAAATAATTTTATCATCTAGATACACCCTTTCTCCATAGTCTGTTTTTTGGTTCATCTAATTAGCTTTATTTTTGTTGGAGATATTCCCTTTTGAAAAGACGCTAACATTTTTTCACAATTTTTACGACTTTTTATTAAAAGACCACGCTTTTGCTTTTGGTTCTAGTCAATAGATCTAGTAAGTTCTGGTTCCGAAGCAGGCCTTTTTGACATAAGATTTGCTTCATTTAGTCTTCTTCTTATAGTCTATTAGTTAATATGTACGTTCCTTAGGTGCAATTCATTATAAATTTGAAAAGCTGGCAAACGGCGGTCTCTTAGCCATAAACTTAGAATAGTAAGTCGATCGTCTCGATTAGAAGTTCTCATACGAAGGTTCCTGGACCTCTAGATTGGCGTCCTTATGGACGTTGTCATAATTCAAAAATCACTCAGTATACTCTATGGTATTAAATTATTTTTGAAACCGGAATTTTATAGCAAATTCACTGAACTAAACAAATGTAAAGCATTTCATTTGAAAAACTAAAACTTAAGTATAAAAATATATTTGACTCACCCTGTATATCTATAAAAATATTTTTGGAATGAGAACTATTAAACACATATTTTGTAAAAGATTTGGAGTGAAAATCCCAAATACGAATCCTGATACAGATCTTTTTCGGAACATGGACCCATCTTGTATGTATCCATTTGTATATGTGTGTTTATTTAAATACTAAAGTAAAAGCAACGAATTTAAATGGGTTAACTTTGTAATATATCGTATTAACAATACAATACAAAAAGTTTTATCAAAATTCGTTCACAGTAAATGAATTCCGAGGTTTGTATCCCATTAGGGCTTAAAGCGCTCCACTATTTTCTATGATTACTTTTAAATCTCTTTATATTATTTGGAACATTTAAAATTGTTTAAAAAATTATTTGTGGCGTTTGATTTTTTTTTTGGAAAATAGCATATTCTAGTCGGAGTAAAAATGATTTTTTGTGCCTCGCTTGTATGTCGTACAGCCTCGTCACAAAAAGTATCATTTTTACTCCTAATAAAACAATATACTATTTTTGCTCTTATATCGCTAAAAAGTTATGACGTCCGAATTTTGTCCGGATTTTTGGGAAGGCTTCGGGAAGGCGAGTCGAAGGTACGACTGCTCCGACGCGCCCCCGCTTGACTTCGCCGCTGGTATTGAGTAGGCTGGGGACAATTTAGGTAATATATTTTAAAAATGCAATTATTCCGTGTCATCATTATGACTTTTTTTATTTAATTTTAATAATACAAAGTAACTATTTGAAATATATAACTAAGAAAAAATATGTCTGCTCGTGTTGGAGTTTGGCAGTGGAATTTTCCTACGGTCGATCCTATCGTCTTATCCTTTGAATGGTCATGTACAGTACTACCATCTGCTTATGGTCGGTCACTTCATACGTTCTAGCTTTATTTTGTAAAGATTATGATAACTGGACATATTTTGCAATCAAATCACCACAACTAATTGTATACATTTTACAGATTTTATCATACATTTTTATATCAAAACATTTATTTAAATATTTTAGGCAAACTGTTCAAATAGGCTATACTGATTTTACAGAAGAAGATGTTAGACGAATTGTAAATGAATTAGGAAAAGAATTTCGTGGAGATAGATATCATTTAATGAATAATAACTGTAATCATTTCTCTGGATCTTTCACAAAGGTAAGTTAAATAGACTGTATTCATCTAAACAAAATATATATATATACAGACCTGGTCGTTCTAATTTGAATAGTCTTGCAGCAAGAAGCAAGCAGCAAGATTTACACCATTAATATACGAACAATTAGTGTGGTGTAATTGCTTAATTCCATTATTATTTGTACCTCACTAATATTTAATTATGCATATCGGTAACCCAGCATTTCTTTGTATCTTAGATTATCAAATGCTAATAACATGTCTACCTTTTATCTTTGTCTTACTCACGACAGCTACGAAACGTACAAGAGTGCAAAATTTATTCAAATTCTTCTTCTCCTTTTATCACACATATTTTCCAGTAAATATGTACAGGGTGGGTCAAATTCGACGCTTTTAAATGGAAACATCTTTTTCTATAGGAGATAGACGAAAACTAATATCGGAGTCTGGAGCTCAATTTTCATCAAAAACATGATGGTGAAAACCGCAAATCAATATTTGTTACCGTTTCGGAGTTACGGGGTGTTCTTCAAAAATGTGCATTTTTAACAAATCGCTGTTACTTTTTTGCTATGGAAAATTTTGTATTTCTATGAAAACATTTTTAAAGCACCTTTTTACGTAGAATTTAATAGTGTAAGTATAATTATTTTTAAATTAATAATTTAAGTGTTATCAACAGAAAAAATGATTTTTTATTTGGGACACCCTCTATATTTTTAATTAACTGAAAAGAATTTAAAATTACCTTTCCAAAAATATAGCACACTTGATATTTTGTTATAATCCCCTTCGAAATACAGAATTTTTAAAAGTTCGCCACTTTTAACTAGTAGGCTTTGGACCCCTTATTGATGATATGCCCTTAATGGAACTCGAAAACATATTTTTCCAGCAAAACGACGCACCGCCTCTGAACGCTGAAGTTATCAGCAAATTTTTGCAGCCAACTTCAAAAATAATTCGATAGCTAACCAAGATCCCAGCCGTTGGCCGTCGAGGCCGCCTGACTTAGTGCCCATGGATCTAATCCTATGGATATATTTGCGGAAGAATGAGGTTTCTTATTCTTCCGTATAATCTAGACAAGAATTAAAAATATTTATGAGAGGGTATCTTTTACCCCCACTGAGTTAACGAATTCCGCGAGAAATTTTCAAAAACTGCCCCGTCTGTCCATAACAGAAGACGGTCGATGTGTCGAACACTTGTAGCAAAATCTCATGTCTTGGTTTGCTATTTATTTTTATTGTTATTAGATATAGTTTAAATGTGTTGATGTTGGTTAAATATATTTTAAATTGTTATATAATTCTGCATCTCTCATAGGAAATATTATTTTCGTTTTAATTGATGCTCACAGCTAGAATTTTTTTGCATTACAGCCGGTGCCGCTCAAAGCCTACTTATTTAAAGCGGGCGAATTTTTATATACTCTATATCTCGAAGAGGAATCGAGCAAAATATCAAGTTTGCTATATTTTTGGAAAGATAATTTTAAATTCTTTTCAATAAATTAAAAATATATAGGGTGTCCCATATAAAAAATCAAATTTTCTGTTGATAATTCTTAAATTATTAATTTTAAAAAAATTATATTTAAACCATTAAATTCTACGTAAAAGGTGCTTTGGGAATGTTTTCATAAAAATACAAAATTTTCCATAGCAAAAAAAAAACAGCGATTTGTTAAAAATGCATATTTTTGAAAAACACCCCGTAACTCCGAAACGGTAACAGATATCGATATGCGGTTTTCACCATTATGTTTTTGACAAAAATTGAGCTCCAGACACCGATATTAGTTTTTGTCTATCTCCTATAGAAAAGGGTGTTTCCATTTAAAAGCGTCGAATTTGACCCACCCTGTACATTTATCACATCGAGGGAATGGAACGTGCATTGGGCAATACTCGTCCATCTCCCTGTTCTCTCAAATTGTGTTCGCGTTTTTAGTACAGTAAAATTGTTATCTGAGTCAAATAATAATTTCTCACTCAGATTTGTATATATACTTAAAAATATATGATTATACCTTTTGCTTCAATTGGTTCCTTTGCTTAATTGCTTCAATTTCGCAATTGTATAGCCGATTTTATTGCCAAACATATATATTTGGTACTAAAAATTACTCGAACCGCAGTAACCACATAGCGACGTGTTTCGCTCCAGCTGTCGCGCTCTTAGGGTCGTGATTTGGTCGGTCGCTAATAGTAGTAACTGGTAATTACGTAGCGACGTGCGATCTCTACCGCGATCTGTTTCGCTCCAGCCGTTGCTTTCCTAGTGTGCGAACACAGTGCAAGCAGGTTTGCCGCTTACTGGTAGTCAGCGCCAATCTGGGCACCTATTCTTGACATCGTTCGCAACTTTGCGTATACGCATCACGTGTATTGTTATAAACAGGGTATCCCAGAAATAAGTGCAAGTATTTTAAGGGGTGGTAGATCTCGATTAGAGGTGGGAATTCTAGTTCCTTGGGAGGAACTACTTCCTTAGTTCTAGTTCCTCCAGAGGAATAGTTCCTTGAACTAGGTCCTTAGTTCACAATAGTTCCCGACTAACATTGACATTCTCGTTGCTTGCTAATGGATTTCGTTTTCAGTCAGAACTATTCACCCCCAGTTTACTATTCAAAATTATACAGATCATTATAATTTTTATAATGTACGAAATATAAGAAGACGTGTAATTGCATATGTTAAAAACATATAGGTAAGTTTTATAGCAGATAAAAAAATTAAAGAAACTCAAATCAGAATTTAAAAACTATATCACAAATCAATTGGAGGAAATAATACGAAAAATTTACGAAAAAATGTATTTTTCCTCACTTCAAGCTTGTTGTTTTTGCCTAACTTCGTTTTATAAGATATTTCTTAATTTTAGGGACATAAAGTGAAACATTCCCATAAAATATTTAAAAAAATGTGGTAATTACGCCGCGCCGGCTGTGGCAATAGACAAGGCCGAATCCATCGTCGTCGCCTTGTATTATATCGCGAATCTGCCGACTGAATAGATTCCCGTGAACTAGTCTTTTAATAGTTCCTCTATGTCCGAATCCGATAACATACGGATGGCACTCCCCACGCTTGCCTAGCATCAATCACGCTGGCTGATCCATACGTAAACTAGTCTTTTATTTAGTTCCTCTTGTTCCTTTAAGTCCAGATCCGATAACACACGGCATACGGCTGGCACTCCCCACTCCTGCCTAGCATCGATCGCGCTGGCCCGATCCGTTCGTACGTAAACTAGTCTTTTATTTAGTTTAGTTCCTCTAAGAAGTGTCTAGCCCTAGCAGTCAACTATTAAGCTTGACCAATCAGGTTGGTTAGCGTGGTTATTTGAAGGGTGTTAATACATTTGTGTTTGTCAAAAACTCTAACGTGATTGGTCGGGCTTAATAGTTGCCTGCTAGGGCTAGACACAAGTTTCCTCTAGGTCCGGATCCGATAACGTACGGCTGGCTCTCCCCACTCCTGCCTACCATCGGGCTACGCGCGCTAGCCGATCTGTCGCCGTCGCATATTATTCTATATCGGTCACAGTCTCGATCCCGGAACAGGTTCTGAGGTACTGGTTCTTTGAGAAACCAGGAACTAGTTCCTTTCATTCCGGGATCGGAATAGTTCATTGGAACTAGTTCGTTCACGAACTACACACCTCTAATCTCGATAAAAGAAACATATTTCTCTTTATCGTTTTTCAAATAAGTCCAAAATAACGGAGTTATTTTACTTTGAAAATTTCCAAAAAAAAATAATTTTTTGCTAAAATTTTGAGAACCACTGGATCTTTTCTGGATTTTCTTTCTTGTAATTTTAATCTACTACCTATGTTGACATATTATCAAGAAATAATTTTTTTTAAACAAAAACTAAAAAAAATCCAAAAAAATTTTCAAAAAATTCCGAATTTTCAAAAAAAAATTATTTAGAAAAAACCTCATAGGCGTGTTTCTGGGGTTGAACTATACTACCAGTTAAGTTAAAATACTTGCACTTATTTCTGGGATACCCTGTATATGGTTACATAGTAGCGCCGCGCTGGCGCCGCGCCGCCTCGCGCTTATAACCTTGAAAAATTAAAGCGTGCTATCAAATCGGCTAGTTTCACAGTGAAAGCAGGCAGGCACCGTCAACCAGCGTTCATCGGCGTTCTCGCTTTTACCGGAACGAAAATTTATTTATTTCTGCTTGTGCACGCGCCGACGGCGCACAGGGGGTATTAAGAACTAAAAGTTGGCCATAATTATGTTTTATGATTTTTTTGCTTTTTTGCTAGTAATATTAATTATTAATTAGAGGAGAGGTTGCTAATATGGAACCCCATTTTGTTTTTCCTACACAATAATTTTTCCTCTACTCTGAAACCCTTTCCACCGATCAAATAGGGCCATTCTGTGCAAAACCAAGCAATTGGATGAGGATGCTAGAACAAGAAAGTAATTTGTATATTATAGACGATATTTGAGCGAGGATGGGTGTTAAATAGGGTAAAGACTATTTCCTTTAAGAATCTATTTAAATCAATGTTTTTTTTTTTTTTTTTTTTGGCAGTGGCAAATATTGGCAAGATTTTTGTACATATTCAATGCTGGAGACTTTATGCATTGAACGGATACTAATTTCCATGCGGAATATTGCCGAATAGTCTCACACCTTATAAAAAATGCCTCTGATTTTTTAAATATAAAACATTATAAAGAAATAGAATAGAAGGAAACGTTTCAAAATAAAAATATGGCATAAAACAGAACAGAGCAAACAAACAAAGCTGGCTCTGTATCCATCATGACAGTTATTATGAACAATTTGCAAAAAAGCACTACAAACAATTCCACTATTTTTATAATCTTAGAAATATTCAGAATACACTCAAGATAATTCATACTTTTAACTGAAATATATTATTTATTTGATAGTCAACTTACGACTTAAAAAAGCTAATAACTAATAAACGTGCTTACATTTAGTATTTATAGATTTGTATTCAGTTAAGATAAAAAATGAAAATAAAAAAATATCACTTTTGGCCAGGTTTATAGACCAAATACATCTATGTGCGGCCCCGGCGAGGCGGGCGCGGCGTTTGAATATGGTTTGGTTAGGTTAGGTTAGTTAATCAGGTAAATTTCCTCTTAATTATCTACTTCCGAACCCTGCTCGCATCTCCGAAATAGCCATATACAATACACGTGATGCATATACGCAAAGTTACGCATCTGTGTATTGTTATATGGCTTTTTAGGAGATGCGAGATGCGAGCGATATTTGAAGATGCGAGTGGTCGGTCCCCAGAGACGGCGCTGGTTGCCGGAAAGCAGAAACCTGCCTCCACTATGTTCGTACCCCTAGAGTCGCCGATTCGTCTGTCGCGAACAAATGTAACTAGTAACGACCTAGACCGCGACGTGGTTCGCTCCAGTTGTTGCGCGACTGTTGGAGCGCTCCTAGGGTCGAATGTTTGTCTGTCGCGCTTTGGTCGGTCGCTATTGGCGTTGATGCTTCCGTTACAGCCCGTTACGTTACTTTCGAGATTGCGATTTTCGGTACTTCTAGGTACTAGGCATTTTTGATTGATAATAAATATATGTTAGGTACAGTAGATAGTTACAAATAAACATTTTTACAAAAATAAGAAAAAAACAAAGAATAAATATGACCGAAAAAAAGGAAATTTGTAAAGCTGCTTTCAATTGATTAAAAATATAATGCCAATTAGAGTTATCTGCAAAGAAAGAGAATTACATTTTACTAACGCACGGGAATAAAGTAAGGCTGATTTTATTTTGATTATTTGACATGAACATTTTACTTTTTCACCAATAAGGAATATACATAGATAAAAAATAGCATATGGCTGTGGTATTTTGAATAATTAATGATTCAAATTATGTTACTTTTTATTGTTTAAGCTAAAATATTTATTAATTTAATAAGTAGACAGATTTAAAGAAAAAAAGATAGAAAAACGAAAAAAACCAAACCAAACCAAACTCATCTTCAACAAAGTTGAAAATTCATGAGATCTATTATTGACCTAAAATCACTATTAGGGTTTCCGGAACCGGTGTTGTTTTTAGGAACCGGGAACTTCTGTACCACGCATAGAAAAACTAAGGAACCGGGATTTCCCGGTTTTCTCAATACTTTCGGTGCTATATAGCTATTTTTTGTTCAATGATGGTGCAGTTTGCGTTTTGTCAATCAGCAAGCAAGGGATGGTTTTGAATAGTGATATCTCTAAAAAATTGATTTTTTTTAATGAAAATAATATCAAATTGTAATAGTAATAGGAAAATTGAAAAAATATGAATACAAGCAAAGAAAAAAACATAAGTAACTTAAAATGTACATCAAACAACATAAACCAATTTACTAAATTTGAAAAAAAATCTTACATTTTTGAATTATGCATTTTAAATTGCATAAAAATGTAACTTAATGAACAACCTTATACTAAATAAAAAAATAACATATTTGAACGTCAACAATTGGTAATAAGAACGCCAAAAGAGAAAAGAAGTAAGCACAATAAGTAGCATCATTACATACTTAAAAGAGATTTTTCCTCTCTGTAGTAAGATCTCAGAAATGAAAGTGCGTCCAGACTAGTGTCACTCAAATAAGACCTAATCTTATTGGAAAGTAAACCAACCGAAGAAAAAAAACTCTTTTAAGTTTGACACTAGTTTTGGCGGAATTGTTAAAAGAAAATTTAAAATTTAATCTGTCCAATAAAAGAATATATGTCGCCTGTACACAAGAAGTGACACAATTCAAAAAAGTCACTTTTATCAATTTTGATATAAAATGAGTCCAATGAATATGTATTTTTAACTTTAACTTTTTTTCTCCTGTTAAACACGCGAAATTAGTTAATTCGCGAAATATCCGGTTAAATCGCGAATTATTTATATGCAATGGATAGAACCTGAATATGTGTTAATTTCGTGTGTTATCCACCGCAAACAGGTTAAAACGCGAATTACCCAAGAGCAACCGTATAAAACGTTTATTGAGTTAGTATTGTATCTTTTGTCAACAAGGGCAGCAATTATTAGTTATTTTAGAGATTGTTTATGAATATTAGAGGGGTCAGGTTAAAAAATACATCTACTTATAATATTAGACTACTAGCGTGTACCAGCGACTTCATCGCGTCGAATTAATCATTTGTAATGGTGATGATAAAGCAAAGCAAGAATTTCCATTAACATACTGTTACGTTTTTCGTCGCTTCCGTGTGGATAGAAAGTCACAATTTATTTAAACACAATTTATTTAACACTAATTAACAAAAACAATAACAATTAAAAGACTTAAAGAACTATTTATAACTTATTTACAATTTATCTAATTATTTATCTAACAGAAATTTATTTTGAATTAGCGCGGCGATTGTAACTGTACGCGTCGATCGGTTATTTATCTGTCTCCTTCAGGTTTCGGGCATTGGCTTATATATGAGAGAAACAGACAGTCCAGACATATCTCGAAAATTCTTAGCGGCGTTCTTCGAACGTCGGTGGGCGTATGAGTCATAGCCGAGTGGCCAAGCCTAAGGCCGAGTTCACACGGTACGGGTCCGCAACAATACAAACTGGATAAAATTTTCTCACATTTATGTCAGCATGAGATAAAACAATATGGCGATATTATTATATAACTTGGTAATATTTAAGGGGTAGTTTCATCTCGTTGGAATTTGACTTTCGAAAGATCCGTAAAAATAAGATTTTTACATCAAGCAGTTTAAGCAGAATCGTGGTTAAGAAATCACCCAACGTTTTGGAACACCCTGTATGATTTTTTAAAAAAATTTCAAAATATGTAAAAAAACAAATAAATTATGCTTGTTTAAGCGTTTTTCCGAAAAACTAACCATTTTTTAAATAACAAATATTGTAATATTTGAGGAGCGTTTTCATCCTCTTGGAATTAGAAATTCGAGAAACCCCTCCTTATCGAACCTCTACACCCCACAGTCAATCCGTTTGCCAAAAATTAGCTTTAAACGTCAAGCAGTTAAGCAGAATCGTGATTACTCAATGTTCATATTTTAGAAACACCCTGGATAAATTTATAAAAAATCTTAAAATATGTAAAACAACAAAATAAAATATACGTGTTTAAGAGTTTTTCCGAAAAACTCACCGGTTCTTAAATAAAAAATATTTTAATATTTGAGGGATAGTTTTACCCCCTTAGAATTTGAGTTTCGAAAAATCCCTTCTTATCGAACCTCTACACCCTAAAGTCAGTCTGTTTTCCAAAAATCAGCTTTTTACGTCAAGCGCTTTAAGCAGGATCGTGATTAATCAATGACCAGATTTTTCGAAACACCCTGTATACATTTTTAAAAAATCTAAATAAAATATACGCGTTTAAGCGTTTTTTCGGAAACTTGACCGTTTTTTAAATAAAAAATATTGTAATATTTGAGGGGTGGTTTCACCCTCTTGGAACTGGAATTTCGAAAAATCCCTTCTTATCGAACCTCTACACCCTAGAATCAACCTGTATGCCAAAATTGAGCTTCTTACGTTGAGTGGTTTGAGCAGGATCGTGATTAATCAGTATGTCAGTCACTTAAGGATTTTATATATTAGTATAGAAGAGCTAGGCAACGTTTTCGCGAAAGTAATTTAAGAAAGCTGGCTTTTTGATATAACTTTTACTATGCTCTCTGGTCCAGAATGCGGGCCGTTTGGCTGCCGATACACGTTGCGTTCACTACTGCACATCGAAAGAAGATCCTATATTTTTTTATTTAGTCCTTTAAATTCTAGTATTGAATATAAATCGAGCAGTCTCCATAGCGCGGCGCGCAGAGGTTCCGCCTATGGAGCGAGGAGCACGAGTTCGAGACCCGCTTGGGGTATAGAACTTTTTTATTTTATATTCGTTTGTATTCTGATAGTAAAGTATTAAATATTTGTTTTTTCTTTGAATCACCAGAATCATTTAATACTTAACTATCAGAATATAAACGAAAATAAAATAAAAAAGTTTTATACCCCGAGCCGGTCTCGAACTCGGACTCCTCGCTTCATAGGCGGAGCCATTTCGCGCCGCGCTATGGAGACTCGCTCGGTTTATATTTAATACTGGAATTTAAAGGACTAATAAAAAATACAGGATCCTCTTTCAATTTCAGCGAGACGGCCCGCACGCTGTTCCAGAGAGCATAGTAAAAGATATATGAAAGAACCAGATTTCTTAAAATACTTGTTTTCCCGACGCTCTCGTACTATATGTTTAGGCTATGCATATTAAAATATATTTTTTACAGATTTTAGCTGGACAAGAAATTCCACCATGGGTTAATCGCTTAGCCTATTTTAGTAGTTGGGTCCCATTTCTAGAAAGATGCTTACCTAAAGAGTGGTTGACCCCTATGGCACTTCAGCATTCGTTAAGTTGTAGACAAGATTCAACATGCTCGGAGGCGTCCACATCTTATTAATTTGCCAAAGATTAAGATTACCAAGCGTTACATTTTCATTACTTATTTAAATCAAACGTAAACTTTTTTCAGAAAAAAAAAATACATTATTTAACACAAACAATTTTAGGACAGTTGTTACAAAAATGAAATACATTTCATATAAATAAGTTGACTACTATGTTTTACTTTACAACTCTGTATATGGAATCGCACATAATTTTGTTTTACTAATATTGTACCTTTGTTGAAATTTAGATATTGAACGCTAGCCAAGAGAATATTTTAGGTACAATACATTGCTTTAAAACACAATTTTTAGTGAGAACAATAACTCAAAATGTACAGATATATGTTGATTTGAATAGTTCACATCATTTTTAACCTATTCACAAAGACTATCAAGTTGTAGTTGAAGATTTAAAAATGTATTTCAATTTTTTTAAGTGTATTTTTTTATAAATTCAATGTTAATTTAAATTTTACATTCATATCTATAAGTAAAATTCTATATTATGGTTTGAGAGATAATCTTATGATTATTTATAGACATAAAATCATTTAAGTATATCTAAATATTTAGAACCTAAGTTACATTAGTAATTGACCATCTAAAACTAAATATATTTACATTATATATCCTATGTATCTTAAACAATGGGAGGTCTTACCAAGAATTGTGTTTTATATACAGGGTGTGCCATGAAGTTTGCAACAAATGGGATTTTTGTATTATTGAGTTACTAAAAATGTTAAGTGTAAAAATAACTTTTAATGCACCAATTGTTTTACTGCCCGTAATGAATAATTATTGTAAAAAAAAATGTTAATTTTCAGGCTACCCGCTTTTGTTATGTTGCTGCATAGACAACAAAAATACTAAACATACTAAAATAACTAACAGATATACCTATATCAAATAAATTTAAAATAATTTTATAGACTTTCAAACTAATTTGATACTCTATTATTTTGTTATGTCGTTTTTTTGATATCAAACAAACGTTAATTATATAGGGGACAGGAAAGAAGAAATCATTGTATTTAGATTAATTCCTGTTGGATTAACTCTAACTGTCATTTTTTCGTTTTTGGATTGAAGTAAATTTACATAAACATTTTTCAGCATTTCTATACAAAACAATTCTCATTTGTTGCGAAATTTTTGGAACACCCTGTATATGTACTGTACAGTAATGAAATACAGTACATAATATACATTTTGTAATTTTAAACATAAAATTAAAACTTGTTATCAATAATTAATGTTATCAATAATTTCCGATTTATATTAAATTTTTAAAATGAACCATAGTGGTAAATTTATTTGTCATTAATTTGTTACGGATCAAAATCAAACATAAGAAATGTGTTATATCAAGTAAATTCATGGATATATAACATATTTAGATTTTACTTTAAATAAAATGCAAATATACGTGTTACTATTTATAGAGGAAATTTAACGAACATTTAATGAAATATTATTTTTATTTGTTGCTATAGTTTCATCCAATATGACTAACAAAAATTGAATTTGATATATTTGCTAATAAAAGACAAAATACTGAGTTTTCAAAACTAGATACAAATATAGTCTTAATTCATAGTAGTCGGAAATCCGGTTAATGTATTATCGCATTTTTTTGAAAAACAATTTGAGAACTTTTTTATATTAAAAATTTTGATTGGCTGTTTGAAAACAAGATTTATATGCATTTATTTATCTATACCAATTTATTGGCCTATTCAGCGTTTTGTATTTTCCTTTTGCATGTTAACTAAACTTACATGTACCTATACTTTTATATTTTTATTTCATAATATTCGTAGTAATTTATTTAGAAGTATTACATTATTTTTTTCTGATATATTTCACATCATTATGTACCCTAGAAATATTTTTTGATTTTTAAAGATTTTTTTATTAGGATATGTTTCATTTTATTGCTGTATAAATGATACATAGTACAAAGTGTTCAATTTTAAGGAAATATGACGGTTTAAAATGTATACAGACTTTATTCTCTCTTAATAAATTGGAAATGTTTGAATAATTTGATAAATTAAAGTTATGGAGACTTCTTATGTCTTTTTCTGTCTTAACTTTCCCTGTACTATGATTTTGCAATACATTTTTTTTCACCATGGTTTATTGCAATGGGTTGTTCATAGCTTAAGTAGCAAAATAAATTATACAGGGTGACAATTTGAAAACGAACAGTATTTAATATTGCCTCTACCGATGATAGTATGAAAATTTTTGGCGAAACACGTCAATTTACATATCAAGGGGGACAATTTTTGAGGCATTTGTTGCCGTGTTACATTCAACCCCTTGACCCCCAGGGCACTTACCCCTAAAATTTTAAATAGCAACCCCTATTTTACCATTTTTATGTTTCTTATAGAATTCTACATAAACTGCATTATTTTTTTGAGAATTTTATAAGGAACACAAAAATAGTAAAAGAAATAGGAGTTGCCATTTAAAATTTTAGGGGTAGGTGCCCTGGGGGTCAAAGGGTTGAAAGTAACACGACAACAAATGCCTCAAAAATCCCCCTTGATATGTAAATTGACGTAATTCGCCAAATTTTCATACTATCATCGGTAGAGGTAATATTAAATACTTCAAATCGTCACCGTGTATAAGCAAATATAATTGTATATTATTTTATATGTTATTGAAAATTGAAATTCTTAGAACTTGCTACAAAATGGAATGATCCTTGTACTGCCAAAAAGGGCCCATTTATAGAACAGTTTGGTAGCATAACAGTTCTATAAAAATCGTATACAACTATTATAAGATTGTTTATACAGCTTTATGCAACTACTATAAAATTATTTTATAATGCCATTATTAGTAGATTAAAATACAATCGTATTTTATTTTATAGTGAAAAATATTAGAACAAAATAATATTTTAATTCTGTTATGAATTGAATATAGGTTGTGTTATTTGTAAAATACAGACTAAACACTTCCAAATAATTTTATATAGTATTTAAAAAAATCAAAGGTATAGAAACTAAAAAACTTAAAAACTGTAACTTAAATATGTTAAAACTACTATAAAAGCATTCAATACAACAATTTTCATTATAAAGCAACTCAATAGACAATAGTCGACGCTACTCGAATGATACGACTATTAAATCATTTTAGAATTCTATTTTGGTAGTTTGGAGAGGACTAGTCAGCTGTAGTTCGGGAACCGTTAGAAAGTAAGAAAATAGGTAGTATATTATAGTCTGTCCAAAGAGAGGATCCATGATAGTGACAGTTGCGTCTATTATTTTAGTTCACAGTTCTAGTCTTTTTGCAAAAGATCGAATTATTCTATACGCCTGCGACATATATAAATTAATTGGGAAGGTATGAGTGATGGGCATTATGATTATTTTTAGTGAATAGAATCACGCGGTTTAATTTCTCATAATGAAGCGACTCTTATGATTAGAGTTGATACGAAATACTGGAAAAGGGTACGGAGGAACAGGCATCAGCAAGTAACAGTCTGGAACAGCTATCGGTTTAGAAAATACTAGGTAGTTCAGTACGGAAGGCGCAAGGCGCGTACTCCAAGCCTTGCGGGAGTGTATATATCTTGCACATGGCGCCTCCTGATTGTCCCTCAACCTTTGCACCAATTTTGAAAATTGCAGCCGGAGGTATAACCATAGTTTAAGGAAAAGAGTAGTTGCACTCTCGCAAATATTTTCTGCCAGTTTTTGCAAGCTGCCGATATTCGACAGCGTTTCAGTTGAATTCCGTCTGTCGAGCTGCGAGGTTCGAGCGTTGCGTCCCAGCACAGAGACGGATTGACAAAAAATGAGTGCTTTACGGTGTGCTGCTATTAATTGTAGTAATAATTCAAAAAATTGTTCTTTGAGTTTTTTTTAGATCTCCATCGGATGTAAATCGGCAAGGTGATAGTAATTATCAATAAACATTTAATTATATTTGTTTATTTTAGAAGCTGAGATATTATGTAATTAATTAAATGTTATTATTTTTTTAGCATGTGGGCAAATCTTAGAAATAGTTTTTTAGATATACAGGTTGTCTCAAATATGCGCATGAAAATATTTTCTGGTCAGGGGATTTGCCATAAAATTTTCATTCCAATAATAATTTTAGAGTAAATATTTTGTACATCTAAAGTCTCCGCAAATTATTCATATTTTTTAAATGAAAGAATTTTATAATAGCATAATCTATTATAAATTTAGTGCACTGTATTTTTTTATGTTTTTTTTTATTTTATTTATTTTTTATTATAAGTGGTCGTAATATAACAATATTCAAAATATTATAGACAAAATATTGAGTTTATATTTGAGGGAAGAAAAGTAGCTTTAAACCACCGTAAATATACAGGGTGGCCCATTATTGCGAGGAAGTCCAATATCGTCGTTCTTGTCGAAGATGTGAAAAAATTTTTATTCATATGTTTCAAGGTTTATAAAGGGTCGTATCCTAAAATATTTTGTTATATACAGGGTGTCACAAAAAAGTTATGGTAAAGTTAATTTTATTTTTTTTTATTATTTTACATCATTCTATATATGGTATTTTTTATGGCGATGGCGTCACCAAAATCGGAATATTTAAATTGGTATATCTCAATTTTTTTAAATGCAACATTCTGTATATTATTTTTCGGTCAGATGCAGAATTAAAAAGTGAACATTTTTTTATTTAAAGTGTTTCTCTAAATTTTTAACGGTTTCGCAGATATTCGCAGTATTATATTACATATAGCTCTTTCAACAGTAAATTTTATCAAAGCCACCTAATATGATCTTTGTCTGATATTTTATCGTTGAAAATCCCATATGCAATGAAATACAGAAAATATTTGCAAAACGCCTAAAAGTTAAGAACACTTTAAATACAAAAATGTTAATTCTACATCTGAAAGAAAAATAATATATTTAAAAATGAAAATGAGATCTAACAAATGTTGTATCTCATTTTTTTAAATGCACATCTGAAAAAAAAATAATATACTAAGTGTTACATTTAAAATCGTAATATTTAAAATAAATATTACGATTTTGGTGACGCCATAAAAAATACCCTGTATACGATAAAGTAAATTTTTCTACAAGAATTTATTCTGGTGTCCTTGTCATGTTTAAGAAAACATAGCTATAAGTATTAATAAAGTTATATTCACTCTAGTTTTTTGCCACTTTTCATATACATATAATGTTTTTAACCAAAGTTTTAGTAAATAAGAAATAGAATGGCAACACCGCAGTGTGCTTTAAATAGAATCCAGTTATCTACAGAAAATTAAACTTGTTTTAAATCAAAAAAAAAATTGTAGAAAATCTCTGAAATAGATAATATAAAAATATGTCATTATATATATTTTTTCCGCATTTCTTCCCATCAGAAGATTTTCAGATACAGAAGAATTGTTACCTACACGAAATGTGAAAACATTCTGTTTTCAAGCAAGTTTTTACTGGATGATCAATTTATTTTATTTTATTGGGAACTCATATATTTCTAAATACATACCTGTGAAACTACGGCGAGTGCCACGACCACGCCATGACTATACTTTGCCTAGTTAATAGACCACAACTATACAGCTACGTCAGTGGTCACGGGAGGCGAGAACAAGGTCATATAAAGTGGCAGAAAAAGAACAAAGGATTTGACAAGGAGTAAATCTACTAGTTTCCTTATACTATGGTATAACCATAGTACCTCCGCAGCCGCCAGCTCTTAGCCCACGGCCACACAGAAAGCGTTTTTAGCGACTAAAACAAAATAACAGGATTACATAGGAGTGGCCCCACTAAAAGCGTGTAGCGTTCGGCGTGTCTCGCAAAAAACGCAAATGAAAACAAATCAGTTTGTTTTCTGTAGCGTCTTTAGCGATTTCTAAGATGAAACCCCGTATTAGACGGACGTTATATTTAATAATACAATAAAAATAAATTAAATAGTATGATTTTTTCCATTTTAGTGTTTTATCTAAAAATATTTTTATAGAGAACATCTACTGTTTAGGAAGATTCTATTAAATTCAAAACTTGGAGGAAATGTTTGAAAAAGTGTAGTTTGAAATGTTGAAAAAGTAATAAATTAAAGGAATATTTTTTACACGCAAAAAATAGGTTTTTACTCCAAAAAGTATTTTAACAAAAAAGGTTTTTTAACAGAAACAAATAGTTTTTTACGTGTAACAGTTTTATTCGCGTAAAATAATAAAAATAGTTTTTTACGTGTAACAAATGGTTTTTTACACGTAATAATTTGATTCACTTTTACAAAATTTGTATTAAAATATCAATATTTTTGATAAACACGTGGACTGCTCACAAACACACGTCGCGTCACTACGTATTTCTTCTAAGCCGTTAACACGTTTCGTTACAGCTAGCTCGTGTGTCAGGGCCATAGACAAACTAACAAAAGCAAGACGCGTCAACGCTGTACTGCAAAACGGTAATAAGTTTGATAAGAGTTTATTACCGCGCTTGCGTCAACTGGCCTTTTAGACGAGGACGGTTTACTTATGGATTGTGTATTTTGTAGTAGCCTTTTAGACAAGGATGTTTAATTAAAAAGCGTTTATTAAAATCAAATAAATTTATCGGTAAAATAAACAATAATTTCTGGACATAACAGATATAAAAACAAAAGTTTAATAAACGAAAACGTATTCCTCTTATTAAAATAACAAAAAAGATGATAAAAAAACAACAGTTATGGTAAACGAAATAAAAGCATTATTCTTCAAAAGGTACAAAAAAATTATTATGTATATTATAATATTAATAATAGGAACAACAAGAAACATCTTAAAAATATACAACTTTTTCAAATATAAAACATAAACTTCACATTTTCACAAGAATTTTCAAAAATATTAACATTTCGAGTCTATTATAAAATATAAAGCACAAAAATTCAAATCATAAAAAGATTAAAAAGATAAAGATTCTTATAACTTACAGTCAATTTGTAGGACCTTCGTTTTGTCTACGTTAGCGATGTAACCACAATAATATGTATAATCACAGTAATTATTATGTTCTTCATAAATGTAAAATGTATTAAATTATTTGTTTTCGTTTTGTACGCTAATAAAATAATAGTAATACCAAACAAAACGCAAAATCAGGAATTCAACAGTTCGTTCAAGGATGGTTCAAGGCAATAACGTTTTTCGTTTTATTTAGGTTAGGTTTGACGAGTGCGACTGCGCGATGATTTCTGACTCAACTGGCCAGCGCAAAAACAATAATTCGACTTCCTCAATCCTTTGAAAAGTCTTGCTTTTGTTAGTTTGTCTATGGTCAGGGCCGTCTCGCTAGCTCGTATGTCACGGCCTTGAATTTTTACTGCCAGCGCGCGTAAAGAAGTTTCACTCCAAAAAGTTTCATAAATCATGTCCTAAAATTGCGTCAGCAACTAGTAATATTTATTATTCTATTATATAATTATAATTATTTATTATATTATATTATAATATTATAATTATAACAACTACAAAACATAAAAGAACTAGACACGTATAAACTAAAATTCGTAAAATAAATGGCAAATAATAATTATTATTTTTACACACATCACTGGCACTAGCAGTAGATTGTGTTTGTCGCCGAATGCCCCGGCTCGTCCACAATTCAATCCCAGCATCTTTTATCGTCTCTTCAACGCTAACCGCGCCGATCTCGCCTATCTCTTTTCTCACAGGATTAATTGTTGAACGGGCCGGGAATCCACAAGCTTGCGACGTTACTAATTGACATCTTGATAGAAACTGCAGACCTGCCGCGTCTTTTGCGTGTTTTTAATGGACACAATCGAAAAAAACGCTTAAAACGGCAAAATCTCAAAAAAGCGCTTTAGACGCAAAACGCTAAAAACGCTTTCTGTGTGGCCGTGTGAAAATCCGAACTCTATTCGATTTTGCGTGCTAAGCTTTAAAACGTTTTTTTGCGCATAAAACAAAATAACAGGATTATATAAGAGTAGCCCGACCAAAAGCGTTTAGCTTTTAGCGATTCTTAATATAAAAAAAGACGAAAAAACGCATCACACGCAAAAAAGGCTTTCTGTATGGCCGTGGACTTAGTCTAATACTGAATTGAATTTTCGTTCAATTTTCGTGACAGTAATATCTGTTAATCATGGATTAAAATAAAAAAATATATATATTTTTAAAATTTTTATTATCCCAGAGGATAAAAATATCTTTCGATGAAAAGTAAATAAATATTTTGAAAAAGATAAAAGTATAATAAATACAAACACACATTTGTTAACACAATGAATATTGCCTAAACATATATAATACTAATAAAATTGTATAAATATATATTCTTAAAATAAATTACATTCTTAATAAATTAAATATAATATCATATGCATCTCAAAGTTAAAAATTTGAAATATTAATTGCAATTAATTTATAAAATTTAAAGGTGTTTATCATCACAAATAATACTTATGGAAAACATTGAATCAAAATTACACACCAAAAAAGAAAATGTATCTGTAATTGTGACCATTCTTTATTTTATAAATTAACTTGAAAGGTATAAAAGTCTAATTTGTGTCACATATCACAAATACTATATTGTCTTAGTAATATTTAAATAAAAATTGTACTGAAACTATTGCTATTATATATGTATATCGATTGTTCAAATATATATATCTCTATCATATGAAATCTAAGATATTAATTAGTTAAATAAGATTGCCAGATAAATATTATAAGATTAATAAAAATTAGTAGTACTTGTAATTGACTCTTCTGGAAATATTGCTGCTAAGACAAATAGTTAACACTAAAAAATATATCTTTAAGTAAAAAAGCCAATGAGTCACGGTACACTAAAGAAATTTCTGGAACAAAGAACAATTCTCATCTCCTTAAGTATTTATTTCTGTACTTTTTAGTGGCGATATTCCCAGGTTGAAATAATTTACAGTGAAATAAGAAGAAACGCATGAGGGAATTTGCATCAATTGAAACAGTTAAAGTACAAATATATTAGAAATAAAATATATATATATATATATATATATATATATATATATATATATATATATATATATATATATATATATATATATATATATATATATATATATATATATATATATATATATATATATATATATATATCAATACTTTCTTCATCACCATGTATTTTTTTTCAAACTATTAAAAAAACAATAATTATTAACAAATATTCGTTGCCTATATGTCTAATAATAATATTGTTGTATTCAATAATAGTTCTTTTTTAACTAATTTTAATTTGACTTGCAGAATATACAATAGATAACTAAATACAATTAGTAAATAAAATAATTATAAATTATTTGAAATGGTACAAAAATATACAAAAAAAATAAGTACAGCGCCATGTCTTAAATTCTAAAAAGATTTGATATAAAAAATTATAATATGAATCCTTGAATTTGAGGTAACTATTTAAAGTATTTACTATATTATTACATATTCTGAAAACTACACATTAGTGTAATTTTCAAAATTCAAACTCTTCGGAAATACAATATTTTAATATTTTTTGAGAAACATTTTAACTTTTATTTAGTTCGGATTTTCTAATTATCAATGTTACTAATTCAGTAAATAAAATGTTCCTTTGTATGAAATACCGATTAGTAAAATATATAAGAAAACGATTTCAATGAACGATTTATTCTAATGTAGTCGATTTAAATACAAGTAAATACGTTAGAGAATAAAATTTTATACAAATTTTGAAGTATTAATTTTTTAGACCAAAAATGTTCGTATGCAATATTACTTATCTCCTTTTAACTGTCATAGCTTGAACTGTGATGGTCTGCATGAGGAGAAGGCGGCGTAGATATATTTGAACTGTTGTTGCTTGCTATAGAATGACGAGGGCTGTTTCTGTTTTCCGTTGCCTGTTGAATATACCATAAAAATGTATTACATAAAAGATAAATATTTCAAGAAATTAAAAATCACTTATCACACTCTCAAAATCGGCTTCATCCAGTAAACTAAATAAGCATAGTTTTTTTTAATTTCCTATATGAAACGCATGTTACGAAGGATCAAAAATTCTTAAAATATGTGTTACACATACTGGGTAAATTTCTAATTGTCATAAAATCGCCATCAGCTGTTTCTGTTCGTTATTTCATATTTGAAATATTAAGTGAGGATATTAGAATATAGCAAGAAATTAATGTATTAATCGCCTAACCGTTGGCAAAATACTATTCAAAACGCCTTCGTAGTCAGTTTTAAAAATTTAATTAAATCCGGCAATATACCATAGATGAAATATATCAGTCCATTTCCGTCTTATTTGTGTTTAATACCATTAAGCTTCATTCAGAACCTCGAAGTTAGTAGAATAAATTAGTGGTTTCAATTAGCATAGTTAAGTTTCTCTAATTTCAATGTGGGCATTCATCAAAATTAGTGGTAGTAATTTTCAATTAGTAGAAAGAGTTGACAAACTTTGAACTTTTGGCACTAATATACTTCATAATGAGCGAATATTATGTCATTTTGACCTTTGATTGCACAGCCACTCAAAAAAAGTGGTATATGCTTTTTACCAGACCATCATATCCTCTAGTATTTTTCTAACTAACACTGAGCACGAATCCGATATCAGAATGACGCCATCGTATCTCATTTTTTTCTAACCTCAAAAATTTGGTGAAAATCCGTAAAAATTCAGGAAAATGCATATATTTATAAAGTAACCATATTGACTCCAAACTGCATTCTGTGAAGCCAAGCCGGTGAAATGGGTTTATAAATCTTCTGGAGTTAGCTCAGTTAGCTCTGCTCAAGAGTAGTGCGCAAGCCTGGATTTTGAATTATCGATCGGATAACTAGACCTATAAGACAAGACGACACTAAAACTCACCAAAACCTCGGAAGCATTCGGATCCTACACGGAGAGTTCGGTTTTGTTCGGCGAGAAGCGCTTTGCGGGAATTTTGAACATTATGAATAATCGAGAATCGAACAGTAATCACAGACAATAATTTTATTATGCGAAATTGTTAACAGTAGTTGACTGTTTTGGTTGTTCATTTTGTTTTTATAATTTTTGACTATTTTTAGAAATTGGCTATATTTAAAAATTGATCTATATCTGGCTGATATTTGGTAATATACCTATAAAGCCTAGTGATTAGCCTTACTAAAGTGATTTTAGTCAAAGTTGCATTGATTATTGGTGTAAATTAAAAATTGTTTCATTTGCAGATTGCATAATCACTATCTAATTTGATGCATAAGTGAGAACCATAGCTTTACTTGGAGAGAGCTCACTATTCTCAAACTGGTTGAAGCCTGGCGCATCCGCCACGACATCAGAAAAAAATACTTTTTATTTTTTTTTAATTAAATGAAAAACAAAAAGTCCGGCGACGACAGTTTTTAGAAGAGTCAATTAGCTATCTTTTAGTAAAAATAGCAACTTTCTAGAGCAAGTCATTACTTCAGTAGAGACGACACAGATAAACATTAGCATTTTATATATGTAGATTCTACTCTCAAATCTTTTATTAAAATATCAGTTCTTAAATTGAATCACATTTTCATGGGGAAATAAACATTTTGGGAAAATTTGTTAGCTTAATTACTGTAACATATTAGAAATAAAAAAACATTTATAGTTCTAATAATCACAGACTTTATTAGAATGTTGCAGTTTCTTATCAGAAACTTATGGCTGTTCTATGTCAAGAAAATACAGTAATTACAACAATACAATACAATAATTTTAACAATAAACAATACCACATTATACAGGTTAGTAGCATAAGTAGTACAAAATAAATATAAAACCCTTAACCAACAGTCAATACATATTTACTTAAGTAAGACCAAAAACAAACGAAATAAAGCCTTAAACCAATAACCTCTTTCACTTTGTTGGGAATAATTCTTGCTTATCCATTTTCCTTTTATGGCTCATTATATGGTCTTTTTACTGAACTATATCTAACCCAATCTATTTTACCTATGATTACGATAATAATTGTAAGTTTTTTTTCCACATACTCATTATATTTTCTTGGCGAATGCATAATTTATCTTGATCTTCTGTTTTTCATACCACAGTTTATAGCTTTCCTTAGTATCAAAGTCATAGGCAAAGTTATGTGTTTCCATTTCCAATTTTACTTCATGGTGTTTACCTTCAAATGTTGTTGCAATATACGGCAACTTCCACAAACTATATACAGACTACCATATTTAGAGTACACAGTGGGCAAATAATACGTTTCTTCTTATTATAGTGTTTTTCACAAAATTAAGTGAAACAATACAAATTAAAAAATAATCCAGTCTGTAATATTAATTATCAAAGTTCTATGAATCGCTGGATCCCCAAAACGCATTCACAAATTGTAAATCTTCTTTAAATGCTTTTAGTAGGTATTTTTTGTATTATTTTGAGTTTTAACTTTGTTTTTAAATAGGGCCATATTTACTCTGATAATTATAAAAGTGCCGTTGTTTACAAAGTCCATCAACGGCAAAGTTCAGCTGAGTTTGACGTATACCGCGGTTGCGCGGTTCAGCTTCCGAGTATTTTGTCCTTAGAGAAGGAAAGAGAGACTCTCTTTCCTTGTCTAGGGTATGGTGAGTTTTAGTGTCGTCTTATAAGACACTAGACGCTAGCTCCAGCTGTTCATTCGTACGGCTCCGTCCAAATTCATACGGGTCTCGTTTGCGCTCCCGTTCGACAATTGGCTAATCCTCAGAGTAAGGGCTAACCGATATTAATTTTAGAGTTGCGCTGTTGCGCCAGTCTCTGCCTATCAGACAAACTTATGTGAAATATACATGGACCGGTTATCTAGTTGTCTCTAACTCGGCTTCAACTCCAACACATTGCAGGGATAGGTGATAATCTGTATACAGGTTGTTAATTTGTTTATCACTCGCGGCAAGAGCTTTATGGTTGAAATATGGTAACCTCGGCCCGCTCGTCGATAGACGACGCGACGAGTCGGCAGAAAACCCTATAAGTGCGTCTCAATAGGCAGTGTTGCCATTCTGTTCCCCTATAAGTAACTGTTGAGTTAACAACCTGTATATTATTTGATATGTATATGGGAAAATGTAGTTGGAAATTTTTTTTAAAAAATGTTTTTTTTTTCATATGTAACACTATAATCTAATGTAAATAAAAATCTCCCTATACCGATTTTGGTTAAGATCCGTGCGATTTTCGAAATATTGAATTGTGCCAATCCGACGTCAGATCTCATAGCGGATTCGTGCTCAGCGTCGAAAAATGCTATAGGATATGCTGGTCTGGTAAAAGGCATAGGCCACTTTTCTTTTTCTTTGTGTGGCTGTGTTATCATCCGTCAAGAGAAATTGTGGTTAGAAATGTAAACTTTATAGACTATTCCAGAATGACGTCACTGACCGGTCAGCCATATTCGCTGGGAGGCACACAAACCAATTCATTTTCACGTTGTCCATATTATGTAAACACGTTAATCCAAGATTCAAACGAAGTTAAAACAGTGGAAAATGTTTCATAAAAATGTCTCATTTTTGTCGCGTTATTGAGCGTTATAATTATAATAAATCGAAAGATTATTAAGACTTCAACACCCTGTAGCTACGAAACAAAGCAGAATCGGACCTATGTTGATATGAAAAATACATCTTATTTTTACGTGAGGAATCTCCCCACGAGATACGGCACATGTTTTTGAAACACTCTATAGAATAATTGTTATTTAGAATGCTACTGCAATATTGGTCCAAAAGGAAGAAAATTTTACCCAGGTCTGCGACTAGTAGTCGCCAAGGAATGTTTTTTGAAGTGAAACTTCTTTACGCGCGATGGGACTAAAAACTGAAGACTGTGGCACAAGAGCTAGCGTCAAGAAAAGGGGTACCGTTGACTTGTTGATCTTGGAGCATCGTAACATGGACCCTGTGAGCTAGGGGGTTGAAACTCTCTCTTCTCGGTTAGATTATTTCATGAAATTTTCCCGTTTCGTGCACTACGAAACACCATCATCAATGAATCAAATAAAAAAATCGTATGATTTAAATGAAATTTGGTATGTCGATAGACTGGACCAAGGCCAACTTTACCGTGTACGGACACGTGTCACTTTGACAGTTACATTTGACGTAAGTAAGAAACGTCAAAAGTTGATTTGGTTTGGTGGTTAGGCTAATTGAGCGACGGTGCATAGGGTCCCACCCTGCAAAGTCGGATACGACGTTTCATTTACATCTTCATCAGGGTCGGATTATTAATATTGAAGAAAAATGTCGGTCGATTTCGGCATAATTGGGGACGGGTTACAGGATGACGCCCTCGATGTTTCGAACCGATGTCTCTAAATGAACGAAATCATTAAGATTTTTTTTAATTATGGGTCGATTGGAACAAAAATTGGCACGTGGATAGAGGTACCCGAATGGAGTTCTCAGACGGACAGGCAGACGAAATTAAGAATTGATTGTGCGCATATTTGAAGTTCCACTTCAAATATGCGCACATAGTATACACACTATTTTTTTACGGTTGGTACGAAAACTTGTTTATTTGTGGTTAGAATCAAACAGTTAAAATTAACACTACTAAAAGGAAAAATATAGACACAAAATATGTTTAAAAAAATTACTATTACTATTATTCTTAATACATATATTATAAATAAATAATATCATTATTTTTCCATAACAAAATGAACAGAAGGGCGTACTTTAGTGTTGTTACTATACGGTGGTCTTCCGTCGCAGTCAGCGTCATAAACTAGTTGCTATATCTGAAAGATTGATAGTGAAATCGCAGTCGAAGTTAAAAAGTAACAGTTAAGAGAATATCACGAACAGGTTTACTGTGAAATTATAACAATAGCATAACATTAACGGTATAACTCACGTTCACAAAATAATTTCGCGGCGAATAAAAATTCACGCTCACAGATATACCTGTTAATGCAAATTCACGTTTTAGCCCAACACTACTTTTTAGAAGTATTTCAGTTTATAAGAGAAATTCTACATATTTTATGTCTATAATTTAAACACTTGTTAATATCGCTAATTAAAATTTGATACTAATAGCACACGGATCCCAAAACATACATGTAAATATCCATTCATCATAATCCAACCTATGTAGAATGGACACAAACAGTAAATAGGTTTTTCTTTATCTTCCTTATCTGTCATAAAGTGGTTTTGTGCTGTCCTACCTATGAATGATATATTTATAGAGCAAAACAAAATAAAAAACAAACAGCTTGGACTAATGTGTATTACGTCTTAACGTCCATTGTCCAATAGTTATTGACGTTATTACTTAAATTATGAATGAATTATATAATATTTACCTTAATCATATCATGTAAGGAAGACATACTTCCTATACTAGCTGGATCCGGTGAAAGCGACGTTTCAGTTGGACGAGGCAGAGCTGGCGGCAAATCTCGCGGCCGCGGTGGTGCTGCTCTTTTCGCACCATTATAGCTGGGTGGTTGGGTACGTATAGGCATCGGGTTGGAAATTTCTAACCAGGGACGCTGTTTACCAGACGGAACAGGCGGTAAGGGAGCCTGTTTGATCGGCTATAAATATTTGTTTTCAATTATTGTAGAAGGCAACTAGGTCTAGAAGTCTAAATCTTTGGACAGTCGAGATTAATCCTAGTGGGAAAAATGTCGACGCAATCGATTCAAGAATTTCGACCAATTTCAGAGGAATAAATTTGCTAGGATATAAAAATTAAAGGCATCCGCTTTATCATTACCAGTTGGCCTACCCAAGTAGCATTTTTAGACACAAAATCTCTGCTGAGAAACGTTGCGAAACAGTTTCCTCACATTTTGGATACATATGTTTGGTAATATAAATCGCTTTTTGTTTCGAAACATTTTACCAAAATATGGTTTAACAGATGTGGCTCACATTTACAGATTTCGTAGCCGTTTAGTGCCTGAAAAATTTCTATAATATATTTGATATTCTATATTATATAATATATAATATAAATAAGAGAACATATCCTTACTTTATTATTTGGATTTTGTTCTGTAGTTTTTGCATTTAAGCATTCTTCAAGTTTTTATAGTACTATAATAATTAAAAAAGCAGAAGGAAGAACATATGGTGAGTAAAAATCAAATATATTATAAGAATATATTGCTAGTACCGCATATGCACAATAAGTGTAAAGTGAAGCTAAAAAAAAATAGGAATATCAATCTTGCATAAGTCTATCCTTTTGGTTCAACAGGATTTTCATGCACACGCGCCAAATTTCGAGTTGCCAAAACACAAGTTTTTTAGTTAAAAATATGATATAATGTAGATGATTTGTGTCCGACACCATGTCAATTTTATAAAATAATGAATTAACATTCCGCCATGTTGGCTAGTGATAGCGTTTTTAACTAAAAATATATGTTTTTATCGGCTGTTGAGCTTTTAAACTCAGAAGAACGCGTTCTACTTACATTGACTTATATATTTTTATTTTCAGAACCATGAGATAAAGAAATAAAAATAAAAATCTATATTTCAAACAAAAATATTTTGTAGCAACAAATAATTATATATAGAAGGGACATTAAAAATATGAAAGTACATTATTAAATTAAACGATGAATTTGCTTTTGCCAGACATTTTTTGTGCGAGAAAACCTAAAAACAAAGATTTTAAGACAAAAAAAAATGGCGGAGGATGACATTGTTGATGGTTGTTTTCATTTTGAAATCGACACACAGACATAGACTATTTTAGTTTGGTATTTTGTTTCTTCACATTTCGAAACAGTGGCTGCTGAAAACGGGAACATCTTGGACACAAATTGCAAAAAATGTTTCGAAACATTTGCACTAAAAGTTTTGATTCCGCATCGAAACATTTCAGGAAACGGCTAGTGCCTCCACATTGGAAATACATGTAATAAAGCCATATAAAATATACAGGTTTCGAAAATGTTTTCTATTTGTGGCATACCGTTTTGTGTCAAAAAACAGACACATTTATTAGAAACATCACCTAAAATGTGTCCAAAAATACTACTTTGGTAAGATTTGGCTGTTTTACATTAAATTGAATTATTGACAACGATTGTCTTTTTATTTAAAACTTTCACATTGTTTCTAAGGGTCAAAAAGATTTAGAATCAAGACCCTGTTAAATACAAATACATATACTGCTTTATAAAAAAAGTAAAAAAAATATAGTTTTTTATAAACAGCATTTCTTTTGTGTTTATTTAAAAAAGAAATGTTAAGACTATTTTATAGTCGTACATTAAAATAAAATTGTCATACCCTAGCTTGAATAGCTGGTGCACCATATGATATTTGGTCGGAATGTTGATCAACTAAAGAAGTAGGTAAGTCAATCAGTCTCTGTTGCTGAATAGTGTCACCTGGTCCCACATGGCTTATGTGGTTAAAATTGGTGGGAGCTGATATTAGCTTGGATAATCTATCGGTATTTCTGAAACGTTTGAGAGTTCTTTATAAAACTTTGCACTAGAATTGTAAAAAGTAACTCACAATCTACTTGAACGGTTTCCTTCTCTAAGAGAAAACCTTCTTCTAGGTTTTTGTATAACTCTGCCTTCATTATCCAAACTTACTATGTTTTCTAAATTAATTAACTCTCCTAAAATAATTTATTTTTAATTCATTACTAGTAAAATATAATAACAAACTTACGCTGATGAACATTTGACAAATATAAAAGGTGAGGTAAATCGTGTAAAACACACAAAGACAGACTGCCACTGTCATTCAAAGGTTTCGATCTTTTAATATTTAACGTTTGGACCCATTCACCAGTAGCACAATTGAATATATCTATATGAGTTTCACTATAGACTACTAAATGACCATCTCTGTAAGCTAAATATACATCATTATATTATTTAAATTACATTTATAAAAAAACTTACCAACTGCTGTCGGCACCGCAGGATACATTATCTCTCGGTCTCTGGACTTACGACCATGCTTATCCACATAAGCAGCCAAAGTACTAAAAACTAAAAGATATTCTCTTCTTGGCAACTCTATTACTTTTAGAGCTTCGACCGAACTACATGATAACGTAGCGCAAAGTGGATTTTCTGGATGAAGTAAAGCTAAAAGTAATATTTTTAAACATAAATACTTTTAAAGTTCATTGGTTTACCACAGTTTTAAAATTATAAAAATATTTTAAACACATTTAGTACTCATTAAGTTAAGTTTATATAGAAGCGAACTGCTAATGTAGCTAAATAAAATCTTTTATATACGTAATTTACATAGTAGCGAAAATTCGCAATGAATTCTAGAGATATAGGTGTTTTTAACATATATTGAAAACGTTACTTGAATGAAAAAATATACATTTTTGTATTTTCTTTTGCTAGAAAGGTTCATTTTTATATACATATTGTGTAATTGGCGATGCTAATTATTTTTGGCAAAAAAGTGTGCAGTAGGGTGGGCCGAAAACGACAATGTTTTTTTCCGAAAAACAAATTGGGCTATTATGGAAAAGTTGAGACTGATTGTGACTATGTTCTATGCCAAAAATTAAATTAAAAAAAAATTGACGGGCCCCTAGGGCTCAAAAAATAGATTCCTAAAATTTGCCAAGGCTAGTGCATAAATGACTATTGACTACTTTAATAAGATCCATATAAAGTGTGATTGAAATATTTCAATATTTAGCCCAGCCCCGTTCGCATATTTGTAAACAACGGCCATGATCGCGATTTGTTTCTAGGCCGAACGATGCCGCGTAAACAGCATACGATATCGCAAGTCCGTCGAGTAAATAGCATCCGTGAATCCAAATTTTAACTGCTTTAACTCCCCTTATAAACAGCAGACGATATCGCGAAATTTGTTGATTGGTTTCTCGTAATCAGCATTCAAGATCGCAAGATTCGCAAGTACAAGATGTCTACCAAAGAATACAGTACTGAATATTTTGCAAAAAAAATAATTTGCCCCAAACCACGAGTATATAAGCACAGATTATACAGATTATAAACTTATCGTCAAAAGCATTGTTTTTCGTGGTTCCAATTTTCGGTTTCGCGCACTAGTTAGGTTACTAGTTTGCGCACAAGCACGCCCACTTATGGCCTCTAAAATTGTGCACAGCGCCTGACCGACCTTGTGACCAGCCCAGTTATTACGCTGTTTAAACGGGAGTTTATTTTTGCGCACAAGAAAATTTACTCGTTTGCTCAACATCATAAAAAACAAATTTCGTACCACGAATTAGGGACAAGATTTTTATCTGTATACTTATAGGATACCTAATCTGTGATATAAGTTAAAATAAAGAAATTATTAGAACAAATTTCGTTAAAAAGAAGAAAATTGAGGTAAGTTACACAAATTAACCAGAGTAATTAGAAATTACTCAAAACAAATTAACTAAAAAAAAACAGATTATAAATCGAAACCAAAAAATGGCTGAAATGAATAAAGTTACAGAATGTTTTAAATTTCCAGGACATTTTACCCAATGCTTAGAGAATGGCCTGCTTTACTTCGAAAATTAAAAATAAAAACTACACTTTGTGTAGTTTCTTTGCAGGTAAAATTTGACTTTTTCTAGTACAAGATCAAGAAGATTGTAACTTAGTTCCTTCATGAATATTTTTTATAGTTAAGGACACATTTTTTTTAAGAAAAGTTAGGTATTAGAAATTTATATTGAGATGGAAAATATATTACATCTCTATTTTGTTTTAAGTAATTTGCATACGTATGTATGTTGGATGAACATAAAATAGTGTCATCTGTTAATCTATTTTCTGTTGATTTCTCGACACGATTTTAGGTTTTAATTTATAGTCATCTATAATAATCGAAATTTTTATGAATCAACAGCACGTCAACGTGTATTTTTTTCGTACGATCACCAAAGTTAAGCATATTGCTGCTTAACGTGGTGCGTATAACTGCTGCGTGGTTGTTATTGGAAGAGGTGGCCGCTTGAAAAAAAACCTTTTTTTATTTTTAGCTCGTTTAATTTGTGTTGACAAACATAATTTGCCATCCTGAATGCTGATTACGAGCAACCCATTAATAAATTTCGCGATATCGTCTGGTGTTTATAAGGTGTTAAGGCAGTTAAAATTCGGAGCCACGGATCCTATTTACCATACGGATTTGCGATATCGTATGCTGTTTACGCGGTATCGTTCGGCCTAGAACCGAATCGCGATCATGGACGTCGCGTCGTTTACAAATATGCGCTCCGCTCCTGTTAAAACAAAAATTGTGTCCAGCTTTTTGCTTAATTCAACATTCACAGTTGTGAAATATGAAAATATGTGAATAAATGTTTTCATATTTAGTTGAATGTGAAATCAACCCCGAACGAGTTCCGAGCTAAACTTCATTCATAAGTGATATTCTATATCTGGAATCTTCCTGGTTTTGTCACAGAAAGATTATCTAATAATCGGTTAGTAATAGACGTTCATTAATCGTCTATTTAAAACGGAATAATCCACAGCAAGTTTTATAAAAGACCACAGGAAAAAACTGAGGGGCTCTTGCAGATACTGACTTTTCTTTTATAAAATAAAGTAAAGATTTCAGTTAACGTCTCCTTTTTGCTGCCAGGGCTAATCTGGACGGGCCTCCTTTGTTTACCCGGAATCCGAACCGCGGTCCTCGGCCATATCACGGTCAAAGGCCTACCGACTTAGGAAGTATCTAAATCAACTCTTACTCACGAGATATCCGATCTCATCCGGCCTCGAACCGGCGTGAATGAGCAGTGTGTATCAATAGATTTTACACTTTTCCCTTGAACAACAGCACGATACAGAGTTTCGAACCGGTCCCCCGTCCATCCACCAGTATCGCCTTACGTCCCTTAACTTCGGTGTTCTAATGGGAACCGGTGTTTCAACGTAGCTAGGCCGTTGCTCTCTTTTATAAAATAAAATAAGTTTTTATTATCGGGAACATAGCGAACGCGGCGAATACTCTTAACACAGCCAGGCCAGTAAGCGAGGATAAAAATAGGGTATTACCTACGAATTCTTGACACCCGCGCCGATTGACGTGAAATTTTAACAGTGAATAGATATATGTATGAAACAAAAATTACATAGCAGGGATGTGTGCTTTCACCCTGGGGGTGAGTAGCAACCCTTCTCGGGGGTGAAAAATAAATCACCTATTTTAATTACAAAAATCAATACAGGGATGAATTCGAAGCAAAAAGTGTTCTCTAACATTTTTTCAGAAAATTAGTAATTTCCGAGTTATTTAGGATTGAAAATGTTAATTTTTCATCTAAAAACTGCATATTTTTCTGCCATTTTTTATAAATAACTCGAAAATCTTGCGTTTTATCGCAAAACTCATATAAAGCAAAAATGAAGCTTTTGGAATAACGAATCGATTATATATTTTTGTTGATTACCGTAGGTGTAATAATTGCCGAGTTATCAATCTGTAAAGTTGATTTTTTATTTTTCGAAAACTAAATTGCAACATTTTACCGCAAAATAATGGCGAAAGAACACATTTTTCGAAGAAAATGAATATGGCCGTTTTTAAAGTGCTTGAAAAGACCTTTTAAATGTCTTTTTTAAGGGTCTTTTCAAGTTTGTAGCTCAAAAACTTGCGGAGTTATGATAAAAATAAAATGGCCACCTCATTTTTTCCAAAAAATATTAACAACAAAATCTACGACTAAAATCATAAAAATAAAAACTATCAGTTTGTAGAAAATTACACAAGCTACAAATTAACCTCTACAGTTACACAGTCTTGAACTCTTCATTTTCACGAGATTTTTGGGTTTTAGGGCCTCAAAGAAGGTGGTCCTTACACGCAAGTCAAACTAATAAAACGTAATATCTACGAAATAGAGATCTACAGAAAAATTGAAAGAGAGTAAAAATATTGCAAAAAAGACCTTCAATTTTACTCTTTTGCATTTTTTACGTATCTTGCTCTAAAATAAAAAATAAAAATTTTTCATTATTTTCAACTTTTTTCCAAATTTAGGCATTCTAAACCGCTCGAACTTGCAGAGCCCATTGTTAGTACTTAAATATAGCCAACTGTACATGTATTACGCTTAGTTTTATTTTTATGATTTTAGTCATAGATTTTGTTGTTCATTTTTTTTTCTTAAATAATGAGGTGACCATTTTATTTTTATCATAACTCCGCGAGTTTTTGAGCTACAAACTTTTTTAAAAAAGCATTTAAAAGGTCATATTCATTTTCTTCGAAAATGTATTCTTTCGCATTATTTTACGATAAAATGTTGTAATTTAGTTTTCGAAAAATAAAAAATCATCTTTACGGAGTGATAACTCGGCTATTGTTACACCTACGGTAATCAACAAAAAATGGATCATTTAGTTATTCCAAAAGCTTCATTTTTGCTTTATATGAGTTTTGCGATAAAACGCAACGTTTCCGAGTTATTTATAAAAAATAGCAGAAAAATATGCAGTTTTTAGACGAAAAATCAACATTTTGAATCCTAAATAACTCGGAAAATAATAATTTTCTAAAAAAATGTTATAGAACATTTTTTGCTTAGAATTCTTCCTTTTATTGATTTTTGCAATTAAAATGGGCGATTTATTTTTGACCCCCGAGAAGGGGTGGCGCTCACCCCCAGGGTGAAAGCACTCATCCCTACTATGTAACTTTGGTTTCTTACATATATCTCTATTCATTGTAAAAATTTCACGTCAATCGGTGCAGGTGTTCAGAATTCGGACCCTAAAACCCTCGCTTACTGGCCTAAGCGGATATTTGCGATAAAATAAAAAACGATCTGTTAATGCACCTTAATAATTTAAATTATATTTTATCGGAGGAGCTAGGCTAAAGGTTCAGATATATTCATGTTTTCTTTGTGTAATAAATAGGCGTCTAGTTAACTTTTTCTTACCAGCCAATAGAATTGCACAAAATAAATGCATGCAAACTCACATTATTATAATTAAATATATAAAAGGTAGTCCAATAAGAGAACGACGGCTGTAATTCAGAAATCGTTAATGATAGAATTCAAGAAAAATATATTTATACCGATACGTAAATCGGCCAATTAAAACCAATTATTTAATTTTATTTCGTTGTTAGGTACGTCAGCAAATAACAAACATTATTTCTTATTGCATGTTATTTTTCTGTTTAAACCCTAGATCATATAATTAATATTATATTATTACGTGGATAAGTATATCACTATGGAAACTGTCGCAAGCATATCAACGACTTCCATTTATCTCCTTTTTTTGTTGCACACGAGGTCCTTCTACTCTATCCATCCTTGTCGAGGACATATCGTCCGCGCGCCAAATTTGAATATTAATTTTAAAAATTTAATTTGTAAAATGCTTATATTTGAACAATAAATTGAATGTTTACTGTCACAAAAATTAAATTACATAAAAAATACAGAATTTAGCCACTCTGTACGAATATCAATATTCTTAGGAAATCTAACCAGAAAGTATGCATGTAGCTTAATATAAATAAAAGAACAACTGAATACTTTACTTGCCTATGAAAAGATAATTCGAGAACCTTTATATTAGAACTTTCACACACTAAACACTTTCTAGTCATTTTTACGAGTATTGTAATCGCAAATCATCTTCCGATGCACGTCATCAATCATATCGACATTGACATTAAAGTTTATAAACCTGACTAAATGAAATTTTGGCAAAAATGTTTAAATTTGTTGTATAATTTAAGATACCGAGCAGCTCTTCATTTTACTTTATAGAACAAATGATTGTAACAGATATTTTATTTAGATTAAAGCTGTAAAAACTAGTTTAAACCGAATTTTATTATCGCTATGTTGGTCACATTGCGCCGTGTTCAGCAATGTTGTCCTTATTATTTCCTTCCTATTATTTGACAATTATCCTAGGGTTAGTGCCCAACCATAATTTTGGAAATACGTGCAACTTTTAATGTGCATGCACAAAGTAAGGTCCCCGAGAAAGACAAACCTGTTGAACATTTCATAAGGGCAATAAAGAAGGTTTGAAAATGGTATGTCGTGATGTTGGAGACATATTTTTTAATGCTAAACTTATGGCGTTGATTTATCCACGTAAGTATATAATATGATCTAGGGTTTAGGGTTTAAACACACAAAATAACAAATAAGAATTCGTAAACAACACTACACGCAGTCAACAACTTACACATAGTTAATTCTCCACTTTGAATATTATATATCGTAAAAGAAGATGGCGATCCAACGCATAATTTTCCGTCAGAGAAAAGTTGAAGCGATTGCACATTAATTGGAATGCTAATCTCATGAGCTCTTTGATGACGCGTTCTTGTTCTCGTAATTTCATAAATAACTATCACTGAAGAGTTCTAGAACGAAATTTTTATAGTATATTAGAAAAATATAAATATAATCGAAACTTACTTGTTTTTTAATAGCAATACACAAAACAAAAGTAAGTGGCGCCATTAAAATAGGCCCTACTGTAAGAACAGAACACCCTTTGCTTTCTGTCACCTTAATCCATTCGACTTCATCACCATCTAAAGCCCTAATAGGCACTAATCGCACCTGCTTCTGCTTCCCACTAACAACAACCTACAAACGATGAATTAATTTTCTTCTTGGAATGCGATGCTCTGTACGGCGACTTAAGCAACCGAATTAATAATAAATGTTAAAGATACACACAAGGCAGCGTTATTTAAGTAGTTAAAATTTGCAATAAGCCGAAATTTAATAAAAATTGTAATTATCCTTTTATTTGGATATTTACACCAGTTATTTTAATATCCAAAAAAGATCCTTTTATATAAATGGATATTTCTATAAAAGGAATACAAATGGATATTAAAATAATTCGTGTATCTCAAAAAATCTTCAACTTTCTAAATGATCGATGATGACAGTATGTCTCTGGATAATCTTTACAAGAGATTTTTTTTAATATTATCATTTTGAGAAAAATGCGTTGTTTATAAAATAAATTTGAGTGTTCTATAATAGTAAATCCTGTTTTTACATATTTAAATTTCCATACCGTTTTAGAGAAATATAAAAAAATATGAAAATACGGTTGTATTTTTTAGACGTCTTAAAAATCAAACCGCGTTTATATGACATTATTATTTCATTTTCATGGTGGGTTCATACAGCCAAATAAAATAAAATAAGAATAAAATAAAATAAGAAATAAGGAATTCTTATTTGTGTGCGTTCATACAGTCAAATAAAATAAAATAAGAAATATATATTTGCTCATGCGCAGTACGATGAGGCTGGATAAAAGTTAACTTTTACGATTGTTTATAGTAATTTTACTATTTATAGTATATTTATTTATTCGTTGCCTACTATATTATACATTTTACTTATGTGAAATTATAAAATAAATTAAATCCAAACTGAAAATATTTGTAGGTTAGAATTAAGCGTGCGCAAAGCCGTTTTCACATAAAATAAAACAAGAAGTTAAAAGATAAAGACTTCTTATTTTATTTGTTATTTTATTTGACTGTATGAACGCACGTACGGTATCCCATATAACCAACTTTCTTATTTTATTTTATTTTATTCTTATTTTATTTTATTTGGCTGTATGAACCCACCATATTCTTATAGATAGATGGTTATTATTAAGTTCGACTAACGTAATATTTTTTGCTGTTGCAAAGTATCATCCTTTCCGATAACTAGTATAACCCTTTCTGTAACATTGAAGTAAATAAATTTTCTGGTACATTTTAATACAGCAAAAATTATGACTTTAATTAAAATTAATAGCCATCTATAGTCTAATTAATCTAATAAATTTAGACACAATGGGTCCTCGCAGCCGCAGTGGAGGGTAGAGTAGACCTTTTCGGTGTTGAGATTTGAACACCGGTGTTAGGTGTTGATGACCACTGGTGTTTCAGTCGGTGTACCGGTGTCAACACCGACGCTGGTGTTTATCTCAACACCGGTGTTCATTTCAACACTGGTGTTTATCTCGACACCGGTGTTCATCTACAACACCGGTGTTTATCTTGACACCGGTGTTTATCTCAACACCGGTGTTTACCTCGACACCGGTGTTTATCTCAACACCGGTATCGCGATGAACACCGGTGTCGAGATCAACACCGGTGTCGATGTCGATCGTCGATGGTGCCCTTTGTTTGTTTTTTAGTTTTTTAATGTTTTTTTTTTAGTTTATTTTACACCTACGAATTTTTATTTATGTTTTGTTTTAACCCGTTTACAAAACACCGGTGTCAATATCAAAACCGGTGTCGTAGTCAAAACCGGTATTGAGATGAACACCGGTCTCAAGACCAACACCGGTGTCGGTATCAACACCGGTGTCGACACCGGAACACCGGATAGTCTATATTTGACCACCGGTGTCAGACCAACACTGGTGTTAAAACGGTGTTCCGGTGTTTGGAACAGGCCTAGTGGAGGGTCCCACTGGGACCTACTTTTAGGGAATACAAATTTATGGTCTGTCCAACGACTCAGGGAAGACCTCGACAGACACGCAAAAAATCACAGAAAATACAATTTGCTTGTGAATTAAAATGACAGACTATATCAAGAAATGAAAACTAAATGGCATTACCATAGAAACTCGTTTTGATTTTTACGACTTATTTACGAAAAAATTCAACAGTATTTTCATTTTTTTATTGTTCTCTAAAACGATATGGAAATTTGAAAATGTCAAATACGTTTAAAATAAAATATACGGAGGGTACCGCTTAAATTCCTGTCCCGATATTGAAGGATGGCTACAGAATTTCAATGCATTTCCTACATAAGTCTATCCTTGTGTTGTTGGAGGTTTGACTAAACAAGGATAAACTTATGCCTAGAAACCATTCGACTCGATTTCCTGTCCTTCAATACTGGGACGTAAATCTTCTCATTGCTCTTATGGGGAGGCCGTCGTATATTTTATTTAAACGTATATGGAAAATGTAGAAATATAGGATTAACCATTTTAGAGCAAGTAATTTTTTTTTATAAACAATGCATTTTTCACAAAATGTTCATAAATAGTGTTTCCCCTCGTAAGACAATCCGTGGACACTCTATATATGAGAATAACAAGATGTTAAGTTTTTACACAGACTAACCTAAACAGATGCGACAAACAATGCAAATGTGAAAATTACATTTTGGCGAATGCGCCAGGCAAATTTTTCCGTTGGATTTGTCATATAGGCGAATTTTACAGCGGACCAGCAAAGTAACCTCCATTTGTTTACTAAGAAGCCACGCCTCCTTTGTGTAGAAAATAGAGAGGGAATTTTGTAGTTCGGAATCAAATAGAGATGATTTTAATTTCATTCGTTTTTTTTTCAATTTTTGATACATTCACAATCTATACCTACTAACATATAAAATTCTTAAGTGACCGACTCGCTGATTAATCACGATCCTGCTCAAACCACTCAACCTAAGAAGCTCAATTTTGGCATACAGGTTGATTCTAGGGTATAGAGGTTCGATAAGAAGAGATTTTTCGAAATTCTAGTTCCAAGGGGGTGAAACCATCCCTCAAATATTACAATATTTTTTATTTAAAAAACGGTCAAGTTTCCGAAAAAACGCTTAAACACGTATATTTTATTTTGTTTTTTTACATAATTTAAGATTTTTTAAAAATGTATACAGGGTGTTTCGAAAAATCTGGTCATTGATTAATCACGATCCTGCTTAAAGCGCTTGACGTAAAAAGCTGATTTTTGGAAAACGGATTGACATTAGGGTGTAGAGGTTCGATAAGAAGGGATTTTTCGAAACTCGAATTCTAAGGGTGTGAAACCACCCCTCAAATATTAGAATATTTTTTATTTAAAAACCGATGAGATTTTCGGAAAAGCTCTTAAAAACGTATATTTTATTTTGTTGTTTTACATATTTTAAGATTTTTTAAAAATTTATACAGGGTGTTTCATAAAATATGACCATTGAGTAATCACGATTCTGCTTAAACTGCTTGACGTTTAAAGCTGATGATTTTTGGCAAACGGATTGACTGTGGGGTGTAGAGATTCGATAAGGTGGGGTTTCTCGATTCCAAGAGGGTGAAAATGCCCCTCAAATGTTACAATATTTGTTTTGGTTTGGTTTGGAAACGCTTGGACACGCATAATTTATTTAGTTTTTTACATATTTTGAATTTTTTTAATAAAATTATACAGGGTGTTCCAAAAAGTTGGGTAATTGATTAACTACGATTCTGCTTAACTGCTTGACGTAAAAAAATTATTTTTGGCAAACAGATTTTTCGAAAGTCAAATTTCAACGAGATGAAACTACCCGTCAAATATTACCAAGTTATATAATAATATCGCCATATTGTTTTTTCTCAGGCTCAGGACATAAATGTGACAACATTTTATCCAGTTTGTATGTTAATGGAAATTCTTGCTTTGCTTTATCATCACCATTACAAATAATTCATTCGACACGAACGAAGTCGCGGGTACACGCTAGTAATTAATAATAACTAAAAGATATTAATACATTTTAAAAAAAGGTTTTTTACTATTAGGTATTTTTATGTATTTCTTATTTTATATTATATAATTTCTAACTATATAATTATTAGAAAGTGACTCCGCTGCTGGCGCCGGTTCCCTTAATGGTTGCCGGCTCCGGTTCCATTGACGGCTGAAAGAACGGCGGAAAGTAACGCCTGGCTATATATAGCCAATTTTGCGAGAGTAGCTGTGGCTCCGTTACTGAGACTGAGGCCATCACTTCGTGAACGAGAGGTCCGTGGTTCAAATCTCACGCCAAACCAGAATTTTTTTATTTTTTTACTGCTGTTTTTATTTAAAAAAAAACTGTAAATATTTAATAGCAATCAAAATACGGATTGCGTTGGTTTCACTCTTTTTGGTAGGGTTAGATTGATTATTTGGTGGAATTAGTTGCGTTGGTTAAGTTGGTTATTTGGTGGTGTTGATTGCATTGGATAGGTTTGCTATTTGGTGGGGTTGGTTTGGTTTTTACTAATTTACATTTGTTTAGCGTTGGTTAGTCTCTGGGGTAAGTTGACATTTTTATTTTCGGAGCCGGCATCTGTGCTCCCAAATTGTGGAACCCGGCGCCGGCAGCGGAGTCACTTCCTATACATATACTTCCGATTACAGTGTGGTCTGGGTCACAATTTCTTTCTTCTTAGTCTAAATACATTTGTAAAACATAAATAAGAGATAAAATTTGTTGACACACTCGACCTCCGTTTTCCGTTTATTATAGGCGCTCTGTGCTCTCAGCTCCATTGGAACGAACTATAATTATTATAATTATCCCTAAATTTCATCTCCCAAAAAGGGAAAAAGTCGGTACAAACATCCCGTAAAAATTGGTTCTGGGAGTTTAATATTTTGCACAAAGGTAAATTCATCCCCTAAAGAGGTGAAATTAGTGGTGGAAATTTATATAAAAATTTGTAAAAATCTCGTCCTAAGAATATACAATAATTTTGTTATTAATAATTTCAAAAGGTTTATTAAGTAACGCAATGGCTATATGAGGGGCGACTATGAAAATTCATCCCCGAGGAGGGTAAAATTAGGGCTGAACAATTATAAAGCAAAACATAAAATAAAAACCTGTTCATTCAAAACATTACACAATAAAGGTTTTTCTAGGGATTCAATAAAAAAATCCATCCCTTAAAATAAGGGAAAAAATGATTGCAAATATTCGTTAATATTTCGGTGTGGCATACTTACGAAGCGTTTTCTCGAAACTCATTTCCTAACGGGGTAAAATTAAGGGCAAAATTTTATGAAAATTCGTTACTACTATGTGGTTTTGAAGTACATAAGATTTATGAATTAAAATTTGGCCAAATATGCTTAAGTATAATTGGGAAGCAATAGTATAGAGTAGAAGAAACGATTTTTGAAAATTCCTCATCTCGGGGATGATATAGGGGTGAAAGTTGGCATGAAAATTTATTACTACCTAGCATAGAAGTTAGAAGTATAACATTTTTACAAAGTTTATGTAGTTAATAAGTCGATTATTTGATCGAACTGTATGTCTATTTAAATTCGCTTTTTTCGTATTAGAAAATCTAGGTATTTTCGGAAAAAAACACCCACAGTTTTTGATATAATTTAGTCCTAGAAAATCTAAAAAATGTATCTTCTTCAGTTTTTAGTGAAATGTTTTCTCATCCATTGAAAGCACATTTTTTTAAAAGCATTTTAAATAAAATCAAAACAAGAAACTTAAACTGAATAGCTGAATTAACTAAAACAATACTAAGAACACCGTGAACTAACTAAATGTAAACCAACAAAAACCAACAGAAAATTAAAATCGGAAACAACTAATAATAATGATGTATGTAATATCCATGTGAAACAACTGAAGAAACTGACTTAAAAATCCTCTGAAAAGTGAAAACCTTCAATATTCCCATCTTAGATTCCCATATTCTTTTTTCTAGGACACTGTTGCCAATTCTACTTACCAATTTGTATAAACTATATCGGTATCACGGCACATGCAAACAATATGCCGTGTCTGTATCATAAAAGTACCTATTTGCTATATAAAGATCAGCTGCTAAATTTTAAATCAATTTAAAATATCAAATAAAATGATAGTAGTGCATAAAACTATTAACAAGCAGGATATAACAATAATTAAAGATAATTTAAGCTGGCTAATAGTAGATAGACTTTAGTTTAATATTTGAAATTAACAGCTGGAAGTACAGCTAAATACAAACGGCAAGCTGACAACAAAGATCCTATTCTTTAAGAATTTTATATTTCTGATATTTTATATCATTTTTCATTTTAAAGATATCGTCATTTTCTTTAAACATATGTATTGATTTTAACCCATTGTTAAAGTTTGTAAATTTCTCATACTTAACAAATAAATATTAGCTGATATTTCCTAACATCATGTAATTATAGTTATTTATTATTATCCAGGAGAAAGCGCTAATACAAGTACATATAACATTTAATTCTCACATAAAAAAAGTTCAAGCTGGCAATCTCGCTTTGACTTTATAATCGTACGGCGGCTGCGACGGCTAGACGAGACGGCGCGGTGTATCAAAGGCAAGGTTAAATGCGAGAAAGAACGAAAGAAATGGAAGCTTAGAGAAGGGGGTGTGCGGGAACGATTTGAAGTCACCACGGCTGTTTGTTTGGCCGAATATTTTGCCTTCATCGACAGTATCGCCGCTCTGTCGTCGCACTTCCGAACATAGGTCTTTTTGAACACAAAATTTCCCATAAGGTGTCGCATCTGTTTAAGTTAGTTTGTGGTTTTTAGTATTTACGGGAGGGAAACGAAAAAAATATCTTTTTATGATGTTTTGCTGGATTTACTTTGTTTTATATAATTTTAGGAAAAAATACGTTTTTTTGGAAGTAGGACGAAAAATAAAAAATTCCTCTTTTTTGAAAGCCCCTGTATTTTATAAAGAATAGTTTGATGCGAATTCAAATTCTAAATAACGTTTCTATTTTACTTTTTTCGATCACATAACCTCACTTTATGTACGTTTAAAGGATTCTTTTTAATTTTTCAGCATGACAGTTGCCCTATGACATACATTAATACGATTTTGTATGTCATTGGGAGTGCTGAATTTTACACAAAGTTTTTGAATAACTATAATTTATTTCCCCATTTGGTGCGAACTGTTCCAATAAAAAAAAATTGAAAATCTCCAATTAATTATTACTAACAAAAACTACCACATAAAGTCTGTCCACAGAGTTAGGGAATATTACAACAAATTAATTGATAATAAATTGTAAATTTTTGTTTTGTTTTAAATTGTTAATTGTAAATTAAAATGACAAACAACTGTCACTATCTTGTAAGTCTTGTTGCACAGACTTTACATTACAAATATAACATATAAGACGTGAAAGAAACAATAGTCCAGAAACCGATTACTTTTACCCAATAGGTACAATAACCTCAAAATCACCTAAGTACTTACCAATAAATGCTCTTCTACTATATATTCTATTTGAAAAATTTTCTTTGCTTCACCTATTCGAGCTATCTCACTTCTGTCTAAATCTATACAATACAGCCCTTCTTCAGTTCCTGCATATATGATAAAATATACAATAAATATAAAAAAATAAATGTTAACTCTGTATATAATTTTACCTAATACAATTCTATCTGGATCAATAATGGCAGCACTTAGAGTATTTTTCAACAATGTTAGAGAGTTATCTATTAATTCTCTAGCTAAAAGCACTATGGTATTAGGTAAATTGTTTCTTTTCATAATTCTATGTAATTCAGCTAAAGCAACTACCCATTTATTCTTCTCCGCTTCGGAATCTGCTAACATTAACATTGCATTTCTTGGACCAGGTGGTTCCATTAATGACGTTGTTATCTAAAATATGTCAGATAAAGTTAATAAAAAAATAGTGATATATTATAATATGTATATACAGTGGCGTGCATATAATGTAAGCAAAAAGGCTTTGCCGACCAGAGACAATATCTTTTTTCTTTCATATCATTAATTATAACTTATTACTAATACAACAAATATTCGCGATAAGCAATTTTTATCTTATTTTTATTCTAGAGATTACCTAAAATATATTTATTATGCATCCGTTATCCGACAATACTATGATACGATATTAATTTTATTGGTTGAATTTGAAAATATGTACGAATGAAAAGTGACGCGAAAAAGCTATGACCTATCAGAGCGCCGCGCCGGACCATGCATCATATCAACAGATAACGGACACATGAAAATCAAGCTATATCTCGTAATTGCCATATAAAATTTACCATAAAGGCACTCGATATAATTTACGCGAAGGCGGATTGATTTACTTTATATTGTCTTTAATGGGACGATAAAGGCCTTTGCGAATCTTCCACGGACTCCGCACACCGCAATGATTAGAAGGCTATCTGTAAGAAAGAGATAGAATAAGGAAGTAATATGCCATTAGGTAACGAAATACCCTTGGCGTCGTTCCTCCAAGTTATAGTAAAAAAGATATATTAATTACTTATGCTATTTTTATTATATTATCACAGCTTACAGAATAATATAGCTTGGACACTCGCCAGTTTTTCCCACGCTCGAATTTAAAACGCCCCACTCCTAAATTAAGCGAGCGACAGTCAGCCTCATTCAGTCGATGCATAACCTCCACCGGTGACGGCCGTATTACGGAAGATTTTAATTCGATTTTTTCTTATATTTAACCATAGGTATTTGTGCTTTTATTTCAATTTTATTGTTATTGTTGGAATGGGAAAAGGTTTTCCGGGATGTGGGGCTGCTGGTTACACAAATAATTATGGAAATAATTTAAAATATAGTCTGTTTAAATTTCAATTCAATTCAAAATTAATGTTCAATTCAAAAGTATTCACACTTTAGAGCTTTTCAAAACGATAAAGACCACTTATTTGGAGGCTTGCTAATGCCAAGTGACCATTTTTTTATTTAGTGTCCTCATTGGAGGCTATTTTTATAAGCTTTGTATGTAACTATCTATGTATGTATGTATGTATGTTTTTGCGGTGCAAATCTTGTAAGCTAAATTAGAACCACTTCCTTTTATTGTAGGAGATTGAAATTTGGCATGTAGGTTCAGACCCGATGACAATACATTTTTTGCAAGGCATGACCCGAATTTTTGACAGCTGTCAAAATGGCGGCATTTTTGAAGCTTTTGATTTTTTAAAATTCTATTTATGAATGGATCGGGCTAAAATTATATATATAGATATATTGTGGGTATATACATATGAAAAAACTATATGGACGGTCATCTTGAAAAAATGACAGTTTAATGACATGTCAAAATTTCAAAGTCAACCGATTTTCATAAAAATTGATGGTATATAGGATGGCCATGGGCTAAAATGAAAGAAAAAAATTTTGAGCTGTCAAATTTGACAGCTGTCAAAAAAATTTCAAAGTTGTCCGATTTTGATAAAAATTGATATATAGGACGGCCATGGGCGAAAATGAAAGAAAAAAATTTTGAGCTGTCAAATTTCACAGCTGTCAAAAAAATTTCAAAGTTGTCCGATTTGAATAAAAATCTATGATGGCCATGGGCTAAAATGAAAGAAAAAAATTTTGAGCTGTCAAACTTGACAGCTGTCAACAAAATTTCAAATTTGTCCGATTTTGATAAAAATCGATATATTGGATGCCCCCTACCCCATAGTCGGTTTTCATTTTATTTGTCTCACATTTGAACTGTCAAATTTGACAGCTGTCGTTTTTTTTAAGTTTTCCTTTTTTAATGAAAATCGATATACATATTATTAGGATGCCCATAGAAAGTTATTTAAGAAAAAATTGAGTTTAAATGTGTGGCACTGAGAAACCAGCATAACTAAAAAGTAGAAAATAAATTTTAAAAAAACTTTTTTAAAAACAAGCTTTTATTTCAATTTAAATACACTAAAAAGAATAAAATAAACTTTTTCTTTAAAACTTTTATTATGAACTTATAACGCCATTACACAATTTTAATATTATATACAAGCTTGTCGCGAGATTTCTCTACATCGATAAACAAGTAAATTAACTAAAACCTGTGTCTACCCTGTCTTATTTTCAAAGTTTGTGTTATGATAGACCACTAGACCAGGAATTACAAGATAAAGTTGTCGTACCAGATTTTTATGAGTGCAACTGTACACCCAAATCTCGCGGCAAGGTTTTATATATTAATATTAAAATTGTGTAATGACGTTATAAGTTCATAATAAAAGTTTTAAAGAAAAAGTTTATTTTATTCTTTTTAGTGTATTTAAATAAAAACTTGTTTTTAAAAAAAATTTTTTATAAAATTTATCAGAACAATTTTGAAGAACTTTCCTTAAATGAAAATATATTATGTAAATTCGTTAAATTATTTCAGACAATTAAATTCAACCATCCTTGTCAAAATTTTCCTATAATGTATTTTTTGTTAAAATTATACGCAAAAGTTAATTTATTAATACCTTAAAGAATATTAATAAGAACTTAAATGTAGCAAACAAAAACCGAAAGCTCCTAATTTGGAAACCTTCGTAAATAACTATAAGTAATCAATGTACCTATTTCATTTTGCTGTTATTTCTAGAAATAAATTAATTAATTTGTTTTTTAAATGTATTTCTTTGAGAATGCATATTTATTTAAAGTTAACAATTTAAAAAACGTGTATCTAAATTATGTTCTAGCACATCTTAATACATCTCTTGGCTGACTGCCGCTTACGCAACTATTGGTTGTGGCGAGAGAGCTCTCCGCTCTAGTGTTCTCCCTCTTTCGAATCGCAAATCCGAGCATAAAAAGATCAAAGCGGCACGCTACACTGAGCTGTTTTTTACTTAAGCTGTGATATTATTTTGTCAATTTATGCCGCCCCTTCTTTGATTTACACTGCACGCCACTGTGTATATACAATATGACACGGTCAAAAAAATAACGGCGCTTCATTTGCCTTTGAAATGACGATAATTTCTGTTGAACTATCTGTCATATTTCATTTATTAAAAACCGACAAAAATGCCCAGGTACAAATACATGGTGTACCAATATTCCGTGGACAAAGAATTACTACGTATTTTTGGAATCAAAATAAGCCCAATGGACACAATTTATCTCTATACAAAAGTGCTTCGTTTGTCCGCTAGAGAGCATCAAACTTTAAAAAATAAACACATTCAGATATTTTAAGACCCGTTATTCCAATTTGAATGAGATTTTGAGTGTCTATGTTTTGCTAAGTGCTTTAACATTTGACTTGCACAAAGATCAAGAAAAACTACGGTAAGGGTTAAAACTACCCCCACCCCTACATAAATTTTAGTATAAATATTTTCCAACTCTACCGATGACAGATTTTCTTTTCGTAAAATGACCCCTCTAGTATTTACTACATTTTTTGTCTGTTGTCACACAAAAAACGCCACATCACATAGTTCTTGAGAAAAAAACAATTGGAGAATTTATTTTTCCAAAGCAGACCTACAAAATATACAGGGACTTCCAATATTCTGTGGACATAGAACTACTACGTATTTTTTGAATCAAAATAAGTTAATTGCACATAACTTACCTTTATACAAAAGTGCTTCGTTTGTCCGTTAGAGGGCACCAATCAAAAATAAACCTGAATGTTAATTAATTTAAAATTTAATAATTATTTTTAGCTTTTTATGAAATGATTTTTTTAAGCTTATTGTGAAATATAATTTGTGATACTATCATAAAATTCCATATTTTCGCCAACTAGATTATTAAGAGCATAATATAGTCAATAGTTTGATAATGAAGTCAGCTTCGGAAAAATATTTTTTTTCCTCAAAAAGTATTTTACTAAACTTATGGCGGCGTTTTTTTACTAGAAACAAAAAATGTAGTAAATAACAGACAGACCATTTTACGAAAAAAAAATCCGTTGTCGGTTGAGTTGGAAAATACCGTATGATCGAGAAAAAACGGCGTCAACGATGGCTATGAAATGAAGATCGCTGTCATTTTATATGTAAATTTATATGGGAAATGTCATCGATCGTCATTTCCCAGCCAACTGGACGCCGTTTTTATTCGATCATACGGTATTTATACTAAAATATATGTAGGGGTGGGGGTAGTTTTAACTCTCCCCGTACTTTTTTTTGATTTTTGTGAAATTCAAATGTTAAAGCACGTAGTAAAACATAGACATCTCATTCAAATCGGAATAACGGTTCTTAAAATATCTGAAAAAATGTGGTTTGATGCCCTCTAGCGGACAAACGAAACGCTTTTGTATAGAGGTAAATTGTGATGGACTGAAGAATATAGAAATGGATGGAGAAATCAGAAATGTCCAATGGACTTATTATGATAGGTTGATTCCAAAAATAAGTAGCAGTTCTATATCCATGGAATATTGGGAAACCCTGTATATTTTCTAAAAGTTATATTTACTGAATAGATTTGAATGTTAACGATTAGTGTTTTCAGAAAGAATACACACTTTTTCCTTTTAAACGTGCACTCTTCGTTCCATTTACAACAATTTTAACAAAATATTCGCACTCAACTAGTTGATATTAACTTTTATAATTGTATGAAAAAAATTATCTATCGCAAAAACTATCCTTTTTATTCTATTTGTTTGCCTGAGATAGTAATAACAAAAATGTATAGACACATTAATTTGCATATTTACCTTAAAAATGCATGGAATATCCTTTTTATTAGCATGAATTACATCAGAATCCCTAACACTACTGACACTAAATTGTGGATCTCTCATATCCAGAATCTGAGCTACATGAACACTGGGTAAGGCATTGCGATCCGCTGATATATCATATAAGAACAACTTGAAATCACAGACCACCACAAATTGACGCACCCAACCTACAAATTAAAAAAAAATGTTTGTTTATAAAAACACTAAGACATTGCACAAACCTTTTTTAACGCCTCCTTGTTTGGGAACTTTAACGTATCCTTCGTAGGCTGTTCCAATACCTCTCGTTGGATCAATCCCAAGAGGTCTTTTGGCTGAAAATATTAATTAAAATTAAACAGAACGATATGGAAAAAATTAGTTATTTTTTTACTTACTTTGATCAGGCGGTACAGGACATACTGCTGGTACATGTGGACAACATGCAGTATGACAAGTAAATCCACAAATTTCACAAACCATTCCCTGTCTCATTAATCCCACCATTAAAGATGTACAATGACTACATTTTGTTGGACTAGAAAATGTTCTGACCAAAAATTGGTGAGCCTTGTGTTTCATTGGCGATTGAGATTCACGCTATAATAATAATTATTAATAAAATCTCTATAGTATTTGACAAGAAACTTTTTTACCATACTGAGTTCAGATAAATTACTTTTAGAACTAACTATACTAGGTGCCCTATTGTCTTCGATATCGCCTTCCTCTGACTCTATTGACGTCCCTTGATAAATTTGGTGAGCAGACACGTTGTCATACACATTCTGAGATTGAGAATTCGTCTCCTTAAGAAATTGTTCTAAATAAGACATCTGCGATGAAGGACGCTCCAAAACTAAAAAAAAAAATATATTTTCTGATGCTCTAGTAATGTTTTCATGCTAAATTACAAGTTATATGTTGAAGAGAAAAAAAAAAGTTTGCACTTAGAAAAAATATAAACTTTACTACTTAACTGATCTACTAATTAACAATCATAAATTTATTATCTAAATAGTTCTCAAAAAAATATATTTCATGCTTTGAAACAAATAACTTGTAATAACATTACGGTTTACTGTAATTGGGCATTTGACAAGTTTAACAAAGCAACAACAACAAAACATTTAGTACTCCGAAAAGGATAAACTCAATTCAAAATACTATTTCAACAACAGTTACACAATATAAACAAATGTGTATGATTTTAAAATAATAACAATAGGATATTAGTAAAAAAATATATGTTACGAAATTATTACAATTGAATATTTATATTCAATTGGGCATTAAAAAACTTTATTCTTTACAAAAACAGGTCTTTACATAATTCAGTTGAATTTAGTAAATAAAAGAAGCCATAATAATAATAACAAAGTTAAGTCCAAAACTTTGAAATTAAACCATAAGTTTGATAATAAGTTTTTGTTCAAAGAATAACTGAAACCTAGAATTATCTGTAGCATACATATGATGCATTTGATGCAGAAAGAAAATTGGAACCACATAGTTACATTCATTGATACATTTATAAATCGTTATTCCAGCTAGATAATATTGATACTGTTCAAAATTGCAGTAATTTCATTGATATAATAAAAGTTCCATAGACAAATATCGTGTTATACCGGGAGGTTTTCAAAAGTGGCTCGCCCCTAAAACTTTTTTATTTTTCGAAATTTGCGAACCAAATTTGGTATGTTAGTATATGACCTAAATCGAGATTGATTGACGTATTCAATTAGTTTCCGTTACTTCCTGTTGCTTCGGAAATGACTACATCTTTTGATTCTTAATAAATTGGTATTTGGTATTTTTTACTTTATTTGATATAAAATGACATTCTGACTAGAATGACATGTCATATGTGAAATAATGTCTATACCTTTGTTGAGGATTCATTTCTCCAAAAAAGTCCTCTGGCAATTTCTCTTCTTTTAATTTTAAAGCCAAAGCGCCTCAAACTTTCTGTATATGATTATTTTTTTGTTTTTAAATTTTACTTATGTTATGTTTATTAAAAACAAAGAAGCGCCTGTCAAAAGTATAAAAATACCGAGAGTACCATTTAAGGTGCTCGCGCACTTAGCCGAAGCGTCGAGAACGGCAGCGGCGCGATGAAAATCGTAGATTTTTCGCCCGACAAATTTACATTTAAGTTAATGGCAGCCCGCGCACTACGGCGGCGCGTCGGTCGACGCGCGAATTCTCTTCGGACCAACTAGAAGTCGTTTCTCTTGAAGCTTCGCATCAATGCGCGGCGATAGGCGGCGAGAAGATTCAAATATTTCTTGATTCTTGTCTCATATCCCAGATCTTGCGTTATTTGGTAGGAAGAGGCGCTAAAGTTGCGGCAAACTTCTTTTTATCTTGTCTAAGATCATTAAACAAATGATGAAATTCACCCTAGGTATCTCACTTTTGATTTATATTATGAACCCAGCATTTTTTCTTGTTTTTATCTTCTTCTTCCATAGTGGCAATTAAACTTAGTACAAAAAGGTACTCTTCTGACGAACTCCTCATCTACTACACTAGACAACGTACTGCGTTCAAATCATGAAATAAATAAAATTTGCGTCGCGTCGTTCGAGACGCCACGCATCGCCCCAGTGCGCGGACATCAGTTAAATGACGCTTCGTCTCGCGACGCTTCGGCTAAGTGCGCGAGCACCTTTAAAGATCAAAAAAGTTGTTTCCGGTGTAAACAAGAGTGAACGAAAGTAATTGAATACGTCAATCAAGCCTCATTTATGTCATATACCAACATACCAAATCTCGTTTTTTATCTAAAAAATAAAAAAAAAGTTATAGGGGGTTTCAAAAACACCCAGTATAGTACATAATATATATATATTTTTTTGAAATACCCTTTATTAACAAACGCATTCGCATTTTAAAATGGCAACTATTATAATATTATATAGCATCTCAAAATTCCATAATTAGTTAAAATATCAGACAATACAATATATTAGCACTCCAAGCAGTAACTAGTGGGAAATACACTAAAGCTGAACAGGATCTATCACAAAAATTTTGAAAAAAAATGAGAATTAACTTTTCTATTAAAAAAGCGTAAGAATTAACAAGGTGTCATCAATAAGCACACAAATATATAAGAGATTCAAAGATCCACAGTCAAAATAATTATTGTTCTAGGCAGAATAATAATCGGAATAAATTTTATTAAAACTAATTTTAATTTATTTTTACTATATTATATCTTTTAGTATTTTACTTCACTATAAATAAAAAATCTGCTTTTCATTATTTAATAAAAAATCTGCTTTCATTATAATTTTACCTAATATTTATTACACTGTATACAATTTTGCTACTATTACAAGTTTATTGTTATTTAATAAATATTAAGTGCCATATTATTGCTGAATTATAAATAATATCATTTGAATTGAAAAGTACTTCAAATACACTCACACGAAAAACACGGACAAATTAAAATTTTGATGTATTTTAAAGTTTAATATATTTTGTTCTAGTGTGCCGATTTTGATGATTTTTTAAGTATTTGTAGCTAAATTATTTGACTTTTTAGTACCTCTTAATTAAAATCTTTAAATTAAAAATAAAAGTTTCCATCTGTCAATTATATGAGGGAAAACGAAATGGTGATATTTTGGTTGAAACAAGATTGAAACACCCTGTGGGATATGTTAACAAAGCAAGAAATTTAAAAATAATGTTATCGTCTAGATACGTATTTTCTCGATAGTTTGCTTATTGGTTCGTCTCAATAGCTTTATTTTTGTTGGAGATATTCGCTTTTAAATAAAACAGTATCAATTTACAGCAATTTTAGCATTGATTTTGGGTCCTCATTAACGCACTTATAAATTAGTGTTTATTGTTTTTGTAACATCGCTGCCATTGAAAAGTCATTATTATTTATTGACGTTTACTCTAGTAGGGATGGTTCTGATGTATCGGCTATTGCTTTAATTATTGATCGTGGTAGAGATCAACTTTAGGACTTAAAACCATATCTGCTAGGGTTGGCTAGAGTAACTACCCAACAGACAATAATAACATGATTTTTCAAAGACAGTTACATTACATAAATCATAATCAGTATTTTATAGGTCTGTTGACTAGGATCAAAAGCAAAGTATGATTTTAACGTAACAAATACAAAAAAAATGTTAGCGTCTTCTTCAAAAGTGAATATCTCCAAAAAAAAATAAAGCTATTTAGATAAATCAAAAAACAAACTATAGAGAAAATATACACCTATATGAAAAAAATAATTCTTAAATTCCTTTCTTTGTAGACATACTCCACAGTGTAATTCAAACTTTCTCCAAAATATCAACATTTTGTTTTCCCTCGAACAATTGACAGATAGCAACTCTAATTTTTAATTTAAAAAGAGAAACTAAAAAGTCAAATAATTTAGCTACAAATTGCTGAAAACATCATCAAAATCGGTCCCCTGAAACACAATATATATAAAACTTTAAAATACATGAAAATTTTAAGGTGACCGTTTTTCGTACCAGTGGGTGTATTTAAAATAACGACGCGTTCAAAAAATAAGTTGGTATAAAAATTATATACTAAAAATGTAAAATAATATGTATTTTAAAAAGCACCCCAGCAAAACAATAAAAAAAAATATGAAAAAATAAGTGCCTGTGAAAATAACTTCTTGAAATAGCTAAACAAAAGAGCTAAACATTTGATAAGCAACCACGAGGAAGCTGACACAAGAATAATGTTTCACGTTTTGGTACAAATTAATTTAAACAATACTATTCTTGTAAAATCAGTTTTCTTTATTCACGAGTTTACCACTTGACAATGGTCATATCTGATATATCTGACCGAAATGTTGTGTAAGTTAAAATAAATATAGACAATAGGTAGTTCAAAATTATTTATAGGTACATTAAATTGTTAATTTAAAAGTTGTCATATTCAGAATATGAAGTATTGTCTTCATTCTGTTATATATTACTACATGAGGGATATTTGCATTCAATGCAAAATTTTGATCCTTGTATCAATTTTCATATCGTTTTTATACCACTATACCGGGTGCATCTCAAAAGTGGCTCAACCCTATAAATTTTTATTGTTTTTAGATAAAAAACGAGATTTGGTATGTTAGTATATGACATAAATTAGAAATGATTGATGTATTCAATTGTTTTTGGTCACTTCCTGTTTCACCGGAAATGACTTCAACTTTCTTTTGATTTTTAAATGGCACCCTCGGTATATCTTTACTTTATTCGATAGAAAATGACACTCTGAGTAGAATGACATATCACATGTCAACTTTTGACATTTTCGCTTAAAAAATTGTATTTTAAAATTAATCTAGAGTGCCATGGCTGAGTTAAAAACAATAATTTTTAATAAAACCTTGGAAAAATAGATTTGATCGACTAATGTTTTTCGTGTCTTGTCCTGGTCGGTTAAAGATTTGCCCAAATCGTATTTTTAAACATATCTCAATTGTTTCAAATGGAAAAAGGGTGGCTCATTAGCATATTTGGAAAAACCATTTTTACGAATAATTTGAACACACTCGAGTTAAATTGTCGTTACGAACCGCATGTTACAATTTCAAATAAACCATATGCGAAAGTGTAAAAAGTTGACATATGATATGTCATTCTAATCAGAGTGTTATTTTCAATCGAATAAAGTAAAAAAATACCTAGGATGTCATTTAAAAATCAAAAGTTGTAGTCATTTCCGATGAAACGGGAAGTGACCAAAAACAATTGAATACGTCAATCAATCCTAATTTGTGTCATTTACTAACTTACCAAATCTCGTTTTTTTATCTGAAAAAATAAAAAAGTTATAAGGATGAGCCACTTTTGA